AGCACCCCATGCAGAGGAAGCAGATAGCACAAGGCCTGGTATCTGGTGGTACATTTGAGCAACAGAATGAAAGCCAGTGAGTCTGGGAATCAAGATCAGAAAAAAAGTCCCGAGAGGTGAGACTAGACAGGCTAAGGATTTCAGTCAGTATTGTAAAAGTCAAGAAGTGTCTTAAGAGGGAGATCAGGGTGTGGGAAAGAAATGATTCAGTTAGACTTGTGCTTTAAAAGATTACCCTAACTAAAGTGCATGTGGAGAGAAATTTGGCAGTAGCTTAGACAAGAATGACAGTGGCAGAGGGCCTGTGCAGAAGTCACATGGATCTTAGGGAGGAACTTCAGACAATCATAGCCTCAATCAGATGCTGACTCCAGTGGAAGATGTTGTCCCAGATGTAACAGCATCTTTACTGACACAGCATCATCTTTACTGATACTGCATATCTACTGATCTATGCCTTTACTGATACAGCACAGCCTCTGCCACTTTGTATGCCTCATTCTCCACGCTAGTTTATAAAGGTCCTCAGAAGTCATGTGCTTCTCCCTGGTAGGGCCAACAGTATACCTTCACATTTTTGCATAAGAACGATGTCAATTCTCCCACTCTCTGTCATCAAAAGTCTACAGACATCTTGATCATCTTGACATCCCACAGAACTTAACAGTAGTCCACTACATTGATGACATTGGATGTCATAAGGTCCAATAAGCAGGAAGTATCAACTCTTTTATTATTTCAGTTTTATTTATTTTTGGCTGTACTGGGTCTTCATGGCTGCACACAGGCTTTCTCTAGTTGTGGTGAGCAGGGGCTACTCTATAGTTGCGGCGAACAGCATGGACTCTAAAATGCAGGACCAGTAGTTGTGGCAGGTGGGCTCAATAGTTGCAGCTCAAGGGATTAGGTGTCCCGTATGGAATATTATCAGACCGGGGATCAAATCCATGTCCTCTACATTGGCAGGTGGATTCTCAACCATCCCATATCAGGTATTTTTAAATGTCTTAGTGAGACATACACAATGGCAGAAACCAACACAATATTGTAAAGCAATTATCCTCCAATTAAAAATAAAATCAGAAAAAACAAGACACACAAACGAGAGAATGGGATTTAACCCCAATACAATTCAGGGACTGGTCACCTCAGTGAAGTTTCCTGGGGTCAGTGGTTGAAAGTATGCAAAGTAGCTCCACAAAGGTGCTGTACCTCATATGACCTAACACACAGACACACACACAGGCAATTTTATTTTATTTTTTTTATTTTATTTTTTTTTCATTTATTTTTATTAGTTGGAGGCTAATTACTTTACATCATTGCAGTGGGTTTTGTCATACATTGAAATGAATTAGCCATGGAGTTACATGTATTCCCCATCCCAGTCCCCCCTCCCACCCCCCTCTCCACCCGATCCCTCTGGGTCTTCCCAGTGCACCAGGCCCGAGCACTTGTCTCATGCACCCAACCTGGGCTGGTGATCCACACAGGCAATTTTAGTAGGATTTTTGAGTTTTGGAGACAACATGTATCACATTTGAGTGTGCTACTTTGATCGATCTAGGAGCCACTTGCAGCTGTATAACTGTAGCTTCATGGAGACCCGAAAAAGAGAAGATTCTGAAGTGAATTTAGGTGGGAGAACAGATACTTTACTACTTGGGCCTTATTACCGAGGAAATCTATATCTTGAAGTATCCATGGCAAGCAGAAATGCTTGCTGTATGGAGTCTCCAGCAAGGACAAGTGGGAGAATCACAGTGCAGAACTCCAGGATTTTGGAGGAAAGCTACACCCTCTTCTGCAAATACTTGTTCTCCTTTAAGAAATAGTTTACAGCAAGTGGTAGAATGGAGCACCTAACAACAGGACATCAAGTGGCCGTGTAGCCTGGACCTCCCCTCATGAACTGGCTGCCGTCTGACACCTTGCCATACTGGGCATGTACAGCTGCAAACTACCAATAAGTGGACTGAGCACACAAGACCAAGGTCAGACAGGGCCAAAGCCCCAAGTTAACACGAGAAGATCCCTTTTTAAAAAAAAAAATTTTCTGCACTGGTCTTCATTGCTGCTGCACAGGCTTCTCACTGTGGTAGCTTTTCTTGTTGTAGAGCACAGGCTCCAGGGTGCCCAGGCTCAGCAGCTGTGGTACACAGGCTTAGCTGCCCGGCAGCACGTGGAATCTTCCCAGATCAGGGATCAAACCCATGTCCCCTGCACTGGCAGGCAGATTCTTATCCACTGAGCCACCAGAGAAGTCCTTGAGCAGATTCCTGTGATACAACTCCTGTTGCATTGCCTCCTGGGGGTGTTCTTTCAGGTCAGTCAGCCAAGAAAAGACAAAACCCAAGCCAGGCTTATGGATGGATTTGTACATTATGCTGGCACAACCAGTAAGCGGACAGTTGCAGCACTTCATCCCCACTCAGGGTGACACTGAAAGACAGAAATAAAGGAAAATCCTCTAGTGGCCACAGCCTCAAGCAGTATATTTGGCTGTTCACTGTTTGGTGTGTGAGATGGCCAGAAGAATAGATCTAGACTAATTCAGAGGCATTTGCCAATGATTTGGCTGGATGATCAGGAATTCAGAAGGCATAGGATTGTAACATTAGTGAAAAAGAAGGCTGGGGAAGAGGTATATGGATGGACAACTTGAGTAAGGCTATTCACAATAATAGTTATGTTCCATATGAATGCCCACCAAAATACATCTGCTGCATTAGAGATCCTTAATAGTCAGGGGTACACAAATGAGATGCTTTGTGGATGTCACCAGCAGCTTCTTCCTCCAGCTGCCCCTAGCACTTGCTCAATGACCTCATGAGCTATGGTGGCAGGGACAGAGACTATGCATGGGCTCAACAATACAGGCTACCATGATCTGAGTTGTACTTATATTGTTGTTCAGTCACTCAGTTGTGTCCGACTCTTTGCAACTCCACGGACTGCAGCACGCCAGGATTCCCTGTCCTTCAGCATCTCCCGGAGTTTGCTCAAAACCACGTCCATTGAGTCGATGATGCCATCCAACCATCTCATCCTCTGTCATCCCCTTCTCCTCCTGCCCTCAATCTTTCTTTCCCAGCATCAGGGTCTTTTCCAATGAGTCAGTTCTTCACATCAGGTGGCCAAATTATTGGAACTTCAGCTTCAGCAACAGTCCTTCCAATGAATATTCAGGGTTGATTTCCTTTAAGATTGACTGGTTTGATCTCCTTGCAGTTCAAGGGACTCTCAAGAGTCTTCTCCAGCACCACAGTTCGAAAGCATCAATTCTTCAGTGCTTAGCCTTCTTTATGGTCCATCTTTCACATAACTACTGTGAGTACACGACTACTGGAAAAATCATAGCTTTGACTATACCGACCTTTGTCAGTGAAGTGGTATCTCAGCTTTTTAATATGCTGTCTAGGTCCGCAGATTTGGATCTAATTTGCAAGTCCAGTGATTAACACTGAGTGCCCAGTATGGCCACTATTCCTTATGGGGATTGGCCAGCCACCTGGTGCCAGGTTGATTACCATCTTCCATTATTGGAGGAGCAGAGGTCCAACCTCAGGAATAGAAATGTGTTTTGGATACGGATTTATCTTCCCTGCCCATGTTTCTACCAGCATCACCATCTATGGACTCTCAGAATGCCCTATTATCATGACATTCCACACAGCATTGTATGTGATCAAAGAATTTTTCTTTATAACAAAGCAAGCGCAGCAATGGGCTCATACCCATAGGATTAACTGGACTTACCACATACACGTCATCATCTGAAAGTGGGTAGCCTAATTGAAAGAACCACCAGAGAGTTGCCTGGCGGTCCAGTGGTTTAGGACTTGGTGCTTTTACTGCCAAAATCCTAGGTTCAATCCCTGGTTGTGGAACTAAGATCCCACCAGCCACACAGCATGGCCAATTAAAAATAAATGAGCACATAGGTCCTAAAACAAACAAACAAAAAAGTTATAGTACCACAGTGCTTGTTTTACGGGATGTAATATGTGCTTTGAATCAGAGACCACTGTATGGTGTTCTTTCCCCCGTAGCCAAAATATTTGTACCTGGGCCTAGAAAATAGGTGGATGTCAGAGTGACTCCTCTACTGCTACTAACAGACTTCTCATTGAATTTTTGCTTCCAGTCCCCACAATTGAAAGCCCCACTGGTTTGGGGATCTTAGTTCCCAAAGAAGGAATTCTCCCATTAGAACACGCAATGGTTCCACTGAATTGGAAGATGAGACAACCACCTGGACATATTGAGCTCTTTATGCTAGTGAACCAACAGGTGGCCAGGGGGTGGGGGGAGTGCAGCGGGAGAGTGTAATCTGTATTTGTCTGAATGACTGATCCTGATTACCAAAGGGAAACTGAGTTGCTTCTACACAACGGAGGCAAGATAGATTATGTTTAATGTGCCTGCATGCTCAATTGCTAAGTCATGTCCAACTCTTTGTGACCCCATGGACTGTAACCCACCAGGCTCCTCTCCTCCATGGGATTTCCCAGGCAAGAATACAGGAGTGAGTTGCCATTTCCCTCTCCAGGATATCTTCCCAACCCAGGGATTGACTGGAGTCTCCTGCATTGGCAGGTGAATTCTTTACCACTAAAACACCAGGGAAGCCCATGTCCAATAGCAAAGGTTAATGAAAAACTACAGCGAGCAAAATGGGGGGGCGGGCCAGATGATTAAGGAGCCAGGCCCTTAGAGACTGATGATTCCGGTCATTGCACCAAGTAAATAACCTGAATAGCTGTGGTTTGAACTAAGAGCAGAGTAAACACAGAGGTGTGGTGGAAGGAGCAAACATTGGTATCAATCACGGCATGGTGACCACTTACAGAAATGAGGACTCTAAGCAGCTTTGCTCATTTTCTATTTGCTTGTTACATGTACATGATAATCTGTATGTACTAACCATTTTTTCTCTTCTTCCCATTTTTAAGTTACCTTGTTAACTCTACAACCAAAAGCTTTAGGGAACATAATATTCAGTGTGACTGTGACTGATTTGTGGAGTAATATATATAACTAGCCCCTTCATGGATCACAGCCTTGGTGGGGTGAAGAGGCTTGCATAACTCATTGAAGCTATGAGCCATAAGATGCAGGGCCACCCAAGACAGATGGGTCATAGTCAAGAGTTCTGACAAAATGTGGTCCACTGGAGGAGGGAATGGAAAGACTGAAGGCAAAAGGAGAAGGGGGCAGCAGAGGATGAGATGGTTAGACAGCATCACTGACTCAATGGACATGAATTCAAGCAAACTTGGGAGATAGTGGAGACCAGAGGAGCCTGGCGTGCTGCAGATCATGGGGTTGCAAAGAGTCAGAGGTGACTTAGTGACTGAACAACAACAAATACATAAATATCAACGGACACATGACTCTTGGAGCTGCATCTCAGTTTGAGAAAGGTTCATAACTGTTCTGTTGTAGGAAGGGCAGCTGTTTTTGTAATGCATAAAGACAGCTGTCTTCTTCATTGCAGTGGTAGTAGTATTCGAGTTCAAGGGTGTGCCAAAGCACATATGGTGGCTGAGTCATCAAAGGGATGGGCTAGGCCACTTATCAATGTAGTGGCCCTCAGCTCCAAATTCACCTCTTGCCTGCTCTGTGAATGGACTGGAGCGTTTAGATTTCCACCCCCAGCTGCCACTGAGGCTCTATCAGGAGAGGGTGGTGGAGACACAGCACAGGAAGAAAGGGCTTGGTTTCCTGGTTCCTGTGGGCTCCCTGGCAGGCATCATGCGCAGCTTTCTCAGCAGCAGGCTCTGGCCACGCTCAAAGAGCCTCCAGTGCCTGGATCCTGTGGTACATGGCAGCCAGTGGCAGCCAGCAGCTTCACCGGGCACGGCCCCCCTCCCCAAGCAGTTTGGTAGCACATCAAGAGGCCTCGCTGTAAACAGCTTCCCTTAGTGCACTAGAGAGCATTCCCGACAGGTTCCAGTGGACAGATTTTCAGCAAAGTCTGATTTCAGCCTTGGACACTTCATGTCACCCCCAGGGGCAGTAGCTGTTCCTTCTATCTGCTATTCCTATTCTTTTGTGGTGCGTACTAATTCACTTCAGTCGTGTCCAACTCTTTGCAATGCTATGGACTATAGCCCGCCAGGCTCCTCTATCCATGGGCTTCTCCAGGCAAGAATACTGGAGTGGGTTGCCATGCCCTCCTCCAGGGGATCTTCCTGACCCAGGGATCAAACCCTCATCTCTAACATCTCTTCCTTGGCAGGAGGGTTCTTTACGACTAGCCACATCTGTGAAGCCCTCCTATTCTTATTTCTAGCCAATTCTTCATTACTCCAGTCCCATTACAGTTAATAATTCCTGAAATCAAACTTTCCCTGATCAAATTTTTACAGTTTCTCTCTCCTGATTGGACCTTGATTAAGCTGGGACTTACTGTGATTGCTGCTGTCACTTCAGTCGTGTCTGACTCTGTGCAACCCCATAGACGGCAACCCACCAGGCTCCTCTGTCCCTGGGATTCTCCAGGCAAGAATACAGGAGAGGGTTGCCATTTCCTTCTCCAATGCATGCATGCATGCTAAGTCGCTTCAGTCGTGTCTGACTCTGTGCGACCCTATGGACAGCAGCCCACCAAGCTCCTCTGTCCACAGGATTCTCTAGGCAAGAATACTGGAGTGGGTTGCCATTTCCTTCTCCAGAGTGGTGACTAAACAGTGGGAAAAATGGAAAGAAGTGGGGAGATTCAAAGATACAAGAGAAGTGGAGAGATTCAAGAGATATAAAGTAAAGTAAAAGATAAGACTTTGTAATGGATTAGACAAGGGAAGTAGAGGTAGACGGACGATGACTCCTGGGAAAATATCCAATTTATAGACTAGATGAACAGGGGAACCCTTCACCTACACAGAGACTTTCAGAAAGGGGTCACAATTGAGGAGAAAACTTACAAGTTCAGTTTTGAACAGTGTTGAGCTTGAGTTGACTTTAAGATATGCAAAACATACCAGGTAGGCAGCTGGCTCCAAAGTTCAAGAGTTTAGTGGAGTCTAAGATTAAGAGCAGTTTCAATGCTGGCTTAGACAGTGAAGAATCCGATTGCAATGTGGGAGCCCTGGGTTCAATCCCTGAGTTGGGAAGATCTCCTGGAGAAGGAAATGGCTACCCACTCCAATATTCTGGCCTGGAGAATTGCATGGACAGAGGAGCCTGGCAGGCTACAGTCCATGGGGTTGCAGAGTCAGACACGACTGAGCTTCTTTCACTTTACACTTACTTAAAGATTAAGAGTACAGTCATCTGGCATTCCCTGGTACTCCAGTGGTTAAGACTCCATGCTTCCACTATAGAAAGCTTGGGTTAGATCCCTGGTCAGGCAAGTTCCACATGCTGTGAGGTGAAGCCAAAAAGAAAAAAAGAAAAGCCTGGGATCATCTTCCTTAAATTGGTAAATAAAGCTGCAGGCATAGCTGAAATGGCCCAGGGAAAAAGTAAACAGTGAGAAGAGAGGCCCTGGTGAATCTGCAAAGGGTTGTTGGAACTGTAAGAGGTGGAGGAAAACAAAGACAGTGCAGTTGGCCCCCCACTTCTGCAGGTTCTGCACTTGTGGATTCAACCAACCTCAGATTGAAAATGTTCAAGGCAAAAAAATTGCAGAAGTTTCCAAAAAGTAAAACTTGAACTTGCCATAGGCCTGATAACTATTTACCTAGCATTTACATTGTATCAGGCATCATAAGTAATCTAGAGGTGACGTAAGGTAGATTGGAAGATGTGCATACGTTATGTGGAAACACTACACCATTTTATATAAGGGACTTGAGCCTCCTCAGGATTTGGTGTCCAGGGGTATCCTGGAACCAAGGTCCCAAGGATACCGAGGGATGACTCTATTGTGTCCTGGAAGCAAAGAATGGCAGCCCGAGGTGCAGGGCTCCAACCTGCCACATGGAGAAGGAGCTGCAGCTGACTGACTGCCACCCACACTTGTATCTCCAGATCGTCTGTATCTTCAGGTCAGCAACAGTGCCCAGGCCCAGGCCACACTTCCTCCAGACAGCTCCTAATCAATGAGTGAGCCTGGCCGAAAACCACTTCTGCTTGATGTTCCTGTGGTCCAAGTCCCTGCTGACCTGGCTGAGATGTTCTCAGAACTGTACTGTGGTCAGACACTCTTCCTCCCTCCTTCCCTCTGTCCTTCCTCACAGAGCCCTGCACTGCAGGCTGAAACTGCCCACTTCCAGAGTTCCAGCTAAGACTGATAATGATTTATATCTTTTAGTCAGATACTGTCTTACTTAGAGATGGATGCATCCTAACTGACACACCATGAACAGGCTGACAGGAAGAGACAATTTGTGTGATGTCCACCAGATGAAAGATCACAGGGGAGACAGTTTGTGAGGACTTTCTTTTTAATCCCCTCTTAGGCAGAAGCCCAAGGGAATGATATGAAACAAGAGGCTGGTTTAAAAACAGGAAAATATTTAATTCATCCCCAAACACATATCAAGAAATGAAGAGAACCACAGGAAAACTATCTACCTATGATGGAAGAAGGGCGTTACTGGCTTCAAGCTCTAAATCCTATAATCCTGAGGCTTTGATGCTTCAAAGAAACCCATCTAGTCCTTTAGCTATTCCTGGCTATTCGGAAATAAATTACATACATCTGTAAAAGAGTTCTGGCCTGCTAGAAGGGAGCTAGCCAGGGAGGAGAAAGGGGCACCAATCTACTATAAATGACCAAAGACCAGTTGAGTGAAAGCACAGAGCCATCTGAGGCAGATGGACCACTGATGCTCTGGTGAGAACCAGAACACAGGGCTGGCTCAGGGGCTTGTGCCATCCACCTGTGCTCAGAACCATGTCAGCCAAAGCCCCTGGGAGCAAAGTTCTAAATGTCTCCTTCATGCCCCCTGCTGGTTGGTTTCATCATTATCTCGCCTCTTCCAAATCTGTAAAAGAAATGAATACAATAGATACTTAGGAGCCTGTGTTCCATCCAGAAATATTTATCAAGCACCTAAATCTGTGCTAGGAAATGAACAAACTATCACCCCAACTGTGTATTTGCTAAGTCCCCTGAAACTAACTCATAAGCTTTCAGAAAATTCCCTTTCATTCAATTTTCACTTTTCTACCCATCCTTCTCCTCCCATGCCGAACTCCTTTTCTGAAAAAGGACTAACAGTCAGGCCTGCAATTTTAGACAAAGTTACCAAGGAAAGAGCTCTCCTTGGAACAAGCAGTGTCTCTCTCCTTTTTTATAAAGCTGTGGCATTTTCTTAGCCTCAGTCTTCCTTCTCTGCAGGGACTAGGACACTTAGAAAGAGAAGACAGGGGACTTCCTTGGAGGTCCAGTGGTTAAGACTCTGCACTTCCACTGCAGAAGGCATGGGTTTGATGCCTGGTTGGGGAAATAAGATCCCAAATGCTTCACAGCATGGTCAAAAAATTAAAATTTAAAAAAAAGAAGAAGAAAGAGAAGATGGAGCACCTCAGCTCCATGAACTCCCAACACAGTGGAAAGAAAGGACAGTTAAAACATACAGCTGCTGCTCCATAGACATGGGACAGTGCTGTGGGCTCACAAAGAGTGCTGACTTTGCCCAGGGAACTGGGGAGAGCTTCAGAGATGACTTCAGATGATTCTGAGCTCTTCCTCCTTGAAATCAGACCACATACTTGCAAAACTGACCTGGTTGACCACACACAGATAACCTCCACGCTCACTCATAACTTGTTCATGCTTTCCTGTCCTTCTCTTCACTGAAGATCACTCCTGGCCGCGCCTCACTCCCCACTGCATGTCGAAAGGCACCCAAGCTAACTCAGTCCCACTCCCTGCCTTTACCCACAACACTCCTCTCACTCCTCTCACCAGCCTTTACCCACAACACTCCTCTCACACCCCATCACCTCCATGCTCATTGAGTGAAGCTAACCCACCTGAATGTAAGCCTCCGACAGTGTGATCATCTGGGGAAGGATGTCGGTCACCTGGAGGTCCTGTAATTCATACCATTTGCCTGTCCCCTGCAAGGAGTATGAAGAGCTAGGTCAGTCTGCTCCCGGAAACCAATAGAGTTTTAGAGGGAAAGAGATGCAGCCAAAACCTAGAAAAGTCAGAACAGTCACTAGCCCATCACCCAGCAAGAGTTGTAAGTAAGAAAGTACAAGACCTCTGTGGGCATCATTCAACATCAAGAGCTTTTAGGGTGTTGATCCTGACAAACAAGTTCTGTGAGGACTCCTTAAAGCACAATGGAGTCTCAAACACTGTTCCTCTTTTAGGAAGAGACTAGGAGGACAGCACAGAGAAAGAAGAGGAAGCCCTTGCTCCTCACCTGAGATGTCCCCTTGCTGCTCCGAAGTGACAGATCAACACATTCACTTAGAAGGTGCAGCATTAACCAAAAATGGACATTCCCACTCCTGCCCCAGAGGACATGGCAAGAGCTGGACAGAAAAAGACTCCTTGGTGGACACTGTCCCTCATACTAACCTGTTTCCTTTGGCCTAAGAAGCAGTGCTGAAAATATAGCAAAATCTACCTCACTTCATGCTTCTATAAACAAAGAGGAAAAGAGGTTTCTGGGTTATGGCAGAGATACTTCTGGAAGCTCACCTGCCTCATCCATCCCAACTTTCAAGAAATGCCAAAAACAGATATATTCCAGTTATTCTGGATATTCCAGTAGCTCAAATAGGATACAGAACAAAAGCTCAGGATCCCATAATGAAAATCCCTATTCCTGGTGTGAGGACTGGTTAATAAGAACACAGAGAAACCGAGTATCAGGTTCAAATGCCAACTCTGCTAACTTCAGATCAGTTACTCCAACTCTAAGCTAGGTTCCTCACTTGTAAAAAGATGGTAGTATCACCTGTGTTGGAAGTGTGTTTTAGGGATATAAACAAGATGAACATACAAAAAAAATAAAAAAAAAATAATAAAAAAAAAAAAGATGAACATACATGAAGTATGTGGCATACTTCATATCTAGCACACGGACAAGTGCTTGATAGATAGAAGCTGGTTATTATTAAACCCGGATGCTCAGAAGACTCAAGTTAGAACAATTTGTGCCAGTAATCTGTATGATAACAAATACATCCTAAGCACATGTTTCCCCTATTTTCAGCAAATTCACAAAATTTTTTTTAGCTGAAAGGGAACCTCTCTACCACTACTTTGTAAACTTTAATTTCATACCCTTCAGAGGCTCTTGTTAACAGGTAGACTGTGATTCAGGAGGTATCTGAGGTGTCTGAGATTCTACGATTTCTAACGAGCTCTCATGTGATGTCAATACTGTGGATCTAAGGCACTTTAGGAGGCAGGTACTAGTCTAGGACAGTGCTTCTCAATCTTGGCTACACACTGGATATCTGAGAATTTTAAAACCATCAAGATGCCTGGTTCTCACCTCCAGATAATCTAATCAAGTCTTAACTCCAACATTTTGGACCAGAAAACTCTTTGCTGTGGGGGCTGCCTGTGCATTGGAAGATATTCAGCAGCTTCTCTGGCCTCTGCCCCAGTGGAAAATCAACAGGCACAAATTACATTGTTTTCACGTAACTGGTCTGGGATGGCCCAGGCTTCAGCAGTCTAAAACCTGCCCCCAGGGAAGTCCCATGTGCAGCCAAAATTGAGAACAGTTGCCTTAAACTGGTCACTGACAACTGTGTTTCTCACAGAATCCCAAAGTCAAGGACAAGAAAGAGCAAAGTGAAAGGAGCTACCTTCCAAAGTCAGCCCTACTCACGTGATGGAGCACATGGATCCGGTAGGAGCCCTCGGAGGGTTTGCCGTCATGTACAATGTTGGCAATGAGATCGTAGGTGGTATTCTTGTGTACTGCCTGCACTTCTTCAGACAAATACTCTCTCAGGTCCACATTTCTGAGGATGATGAAAATAAAGTGAAGATCAGACAAAGCCTACAAGGTTAGCCCTGTAGAGGTTAACTGTCCTCCCTAAATGGACCATGAAGCTGTGGAACCCTATTTCAGGAACCTAGATCTAGGTGGGCTTGAATAGCTAGGGAGCCCAGGTTTGTGGAAATTCACATAGTTTGCCACAAAAATGAGTCAAACTAGGAAGACTGGCTCTATGGGAAAAGCACATTTTAAAAGCATGCCTAGGGCTTCCCTGGTGGCTCAGTGGGAGAGAATCCACCTGTCAATGTAGGAGACAGAGGTTCAATCCCTGGTCCGGGAAAATCCCACAAGCCGCAGAGCAACTAAGCCTGTGTGCCACAACTATTGAGCCCACAGGCCTCAACTACTGAAGCCCAGGTGCCCTAGAGCCTGTTCTCTGTAAGAGAACTACTAAAGTGAGAAGCCGGCCCATCGCAACTAAAGAGTAGCCCTCCTCTCACTGCAACTAGAGAAAGCCCACATGCAGCAATTAAGACCCAGTGCAACCATAAATTAATTAATTAATTTAAAAAAAACGCATGCTCAGAGACGTTCCTGGTGGTCTAGTGGCTAAGGCTCTGCACTCCCAATGCAGGGGGCCCTGGTTCAACCCCTGGTCAGGGAACTAGATCCCATATGCCACAACTAAGAGTTTGCAAGCTGCAGCTAAAGATCCTGCAACTGAAAGATCCTGCATGCTGCAACTAAGACCCCGCACAGCCAAATAAATAATATTTGTAATTAAAATTTTTAAAATAAATAAATAAAAGCATGCCTAGGGGAGTCATGCCTGGTGGTCTCATGGTTGGACTCCATGATTTCACTGCCGAGGGCCCTGGTTCAATCCCTGATTCGGGAACTACAATCCTTCAAGCCATGAGGCATGGCCAAAAAATATTCAAAAATAAAAATTAATGCATATCTAGCAGTCTAAAGTACACAGCCTGGAGTCATTCAGACCTGAGCTGGAATCAAGGCTCTATCACCTCAGAGCTGTGTGTAAGTTTAAGCAGGTGACATAAGCTAAGGCTCTTCTATATGAGAATGAGAGTCACCATCTCCTCTGAGATGAGAACAAGGGTAACCACTTCACCCTCTGCTCTACCAGGGAATCGGTTGCAGTGGCAGTGTTCAGGGGGTACCTGGTCTCTGGACTCAGGCTATAGAAGCCTGCTCACTTGATCATGTCAGTTATCACTGTATACAATCACGGTAACAATTTCAGTGTGGCAAAACAGGACTTCCCTGGTTGTCCAGTAGTTAAGAATCCACCTGCCAATACAGGGGACACAGGTTTGATCCCTGGTCCATGAAGATTCCACGTGTTGCCAGGCAACTAAGCCACCCCTAAGTTGTGATGTGCAGCTACTAAGCCCACAAGCTGCAACTGAAGCTCTAGAGCCCGTGCTCCACAACAAGAGAAGTTACCACAATGAGAAGCTCCTGCACCGCAGCCAGAGCAGCCCCTGCTTGCCACAACTAGGGGAAGCCCATGCACAGCCACAAAGACCTAGCACAGCCAAAATAAATATATCAATTAACTTTTTAAAATATGGCAAACCAGGCAGATCATTCAGATTTGTTTTTTTCTTTGACTTTATGGGACCGTGTTTATTTGATTATTTTGCCTTTAGTCAAGTAGGCAGAATGGTTACAAGTAACAGAAATCCACCTTGGGCAGCCCAAGTACAAAAGGGGGATTAATTGATTCAAGGTTTCAGACTAGGAAATGCAGCAGAAACCAGGCACTAGAGAAGCAGCAAGATCCAAAAGTTACCTGCCCTCTTTTCTGCTTTTCCCATCCAGCTTTCTCTCCTTTATGGAACCCACCTTGACTCCCCCACAGCTTCCAAATTTCTCAGTTCTAGTTGTCAATAGAGACTACTGACTAGGTTCCTTCAATTGGGACTTAAAAACATCAAATTTATTTTTAACACTTGAACACTCATTTTTTTAAACACAGAGAAGCATTCTTGATGTACTTGGAATAAAACCTCCTTTTGTGTTTTATTTGTTGAATTCTATCAGTTGATGTATAAGTGTGGTATAAATGTGTAACAGCTTTTATGAAGTCAAGAGCTATAATATAGGCTTACTGTGAAGACGGCAATGACAATTACCAAGAACTTTCAAATAGGGAATGGCAACCCACTCCAGAACTCTTGCCTGGAAAATCCCATGGACGGAGGAGCCTGGTAGGCTACAGTCCATGGGGTTGCAAAGAGTCGGATACGACTGAGTGACTTCACTTCACTTCAAATAGGGAAATAGACTGACAGTTAACGCAACTATTAAGAGAAAGCTAACTACACTATTTTCAGGAAAAACATAACCTTCTGACGCCTATAAATATTTATAAAAATTTAAATACAAGGTAGAATAAGAGAGAGTATGTGTGTGCTCAGTCACTTTGTTGTGTCCAACACTTTGTGACCCCATGGACTGTAGCCTGCCAGGCTCCTCTGTCCATGGGATTCTCCAGGTAAGAATACTGGAGTGGGTTGCCATTCTCTTCTCCAGGGGATCTTTCCAACCCAAGGATCGAACCCGCATCTCCTGCACTGGCAGGCAGATTCTTCACTACTGCACCACCTGGGAAGCCCAAGAGAGATTATATCCTTTTCTCATCTCTAGAACTGTCTGCTATGCTACCCACTCATAACATGAAACACAGTGCTATCATCTCTAGAAGGATTTACAATAAATGCTAACAGTGGTCACATCCAGGGATCACTTCCAGATATGTATCTCCTTTTGAATTTTACACTATGAATTTATGAATATATCATCTGTCCAAAAATACAAAAAATTTCAATGTAAACCATGTATTAATAAGCAGGCAACTTTGTTCTAACTATATTATGTAGCTTTCCATGTGTTAAGGATAGCTATTTATTCCCACAGACTGACAGCGTCCCATATAGATTGCAATAAATAGTCATTGTTGTTTCGGGGCTTTTTGGATTTTTTTTTGGCCCTGCCACGCAGCTTGCAGGATCTCGGTTCCCCAACTGTGAAACACAGTGAAAGTGCTGAGTCCTAACCACTGGACTGCCAGGGAAGTCCATAAACAGCCACTGTTAAAATACATTTTAGATATGAGTCTGAGGAAACCTATGAGGGCTCAAGAGAGCCAAAATGCCTGCCAGCTGCCAAGAACTGACTTCTCATATTGTCTTCTCAGCTTTAACACCAGCTGTTTAGACTTCTTTGAACAAGTCCTAGAGAAGTCTTCAGAAGTATTTATACTCAAAAATTTCATGACTGAATCCAAATTGTCTCAGTGGCAAAAGGGAATAAATTGATGTTAAGTCGTTTTGCTTTAGAAAACAGTCAATGGGAAAAACCCTATTTGTTCCCAAATGAGAATAGTCCAATGTTGAGACCACCTAACTAACTGGAAGTGAAACTTTACACCTGTGCCCCAGAAATCCTATCTCCAAACAAGCAGGGGGCCGCAAATCACTGCACATCTGATGGATCTCTGCTATGAACAAAACAGGAGAAAAATTAGATCTGACGAAGGGTTTTTCAAATGGGGACTTGAGCATAATGAGAACTCTATTAGTCTAAAAGTGATGACAGTGCATTAATAATCAAAGTCTAGGTTTCCAGGATAGTCACACAGTATAATGGTCTCCATCGGACTAGTGGACAAGTAATCTTTTTCTCAATTTCTCCAAAGCTTTCTGATAGACAAGCTACTGAAGTTACAGTGACCAAAAATCCAAATGTAACTTGTGGCAAAATAAACATACTCCAGGTTCATAATATAAAAGAAACTTCCTACCAGTGAAAGGAAATTTCTGTGCTGATTGAGCAGGAACTACCATCAACACAACAGTCCTGCCTCGGAAGCTGCCTTAGAGTCAAGAGGGCTTCTTCCTCCCAGGAACAGACTGGTGACTACAGCAATTCACAAAAGTCCAGCTCTGGATTAAAACCCCTAGTCTTTCAGAGAAAGCCCCTCTATGGTCCTACTCAAGTTAGCAAACAGCTGGCCTTCATATCCCCAGATTTCATTCTACTTGTCACACAAACAAAATATTAGAGAAGAACAGGGAAAAAAGTGCATGAAAAGAGAGAAAGAAATTCTCCTGTAACCCTAACTACTACAAAGGTTTTCTCTCCTCATCCACCACTGTTCACAGACTCGTGGTGATGCTGGAACCAGAAATAATAAAATGTTACATCTGGAAGGATCCCTAGGGCTCATCTAGTCCAGGCCTCTCATTTAATCCAGGAGAGAGTATACAAAGGACCTGTGCAAGGGCACACGGATAGGACAACACAGAACTCAAGACTTCTTTAATTTAAGTTGCCACCCTCTTAAACGCCACACAGAATTAAGAATTGGTACTATTTTCAAAGGAAAACACTGGCAGTTCAGTCTGGGCAACTGGAAACTGGAGGGGATGGAAGGACAAAGACAAGAGAAGGAGATGACCATCTGCCCATTACAGCCCCACCAGACTACTTTCTGAGGTTTAAAAATTTTAATGTTTCAGAGATTGAACTTCTATTAGGTAATAAAGCTAAACCTGGACTATGAGCTGTATTGTACATATCAGCTGAGTTACCCCTTCACCTTTCCCTGAGGCTGAATCTGAGGATGAAGTGATAGAGAAAAGCTTGGAGAATAAAACAGCCTTTTTCCTGACCATCCATTAAAAAGTTTCCCAAATCATTGAAATCCCTCATTTTCCCATATTTGCCTTACTTCTCATTAAGAAAATTATAACCAAATGGTTCCTGACTTAGCAGATTTCACTTCGAGGATTTATTCAAAAAGTGGCCTTGTGAGGAAGGAATGATTTGGACCGGTTGGAATACTGAGCAGAAAGTGGATGGGAGTGGACCTAGGCAAAGTTCTTGCAGAGAGTGATAGTGCTGCTTCCTAATGTTTCACGGGCAGGGCCATGACTGAGAAACTCTTCTTTAAAATTTCCATCCAGTGAGATTCCCATTGTTATACCATGAAAACAAATTCAACTCTAGAATTTACTAGCATGTCCCCCGTTTACCTCTTGGGGACGATGTCCCTATGCGGAAGGACCAAGGCTTCCCACCACAAAAGCAAAACAAAATAAAAACTATGTCAGGAGTTTCATAGCGAAAAAAATAAAAATAAAAAAAATAAAAATAACCACACTTCTGAGATAAACAGCATGGTAATCCTATCTTCTAACCATTCAAATACTTCCAGTAAGAAATCACCTTAGGGCTCCTACCTTATCTAAACGCCCACACACAGACGCACTTTTTTTCATGCCAGCCCCACCACCAAGCCTCTTGGGAACTAAAAACCAACCGTCTACCCCCAAAGGGGTCTTGCAGGAGCCTTCTACAGCTCCTCCAAATTCCCCATTAAAATACTTGTAAACAGAGATGCAGATGTAGAGAACAGACATGTGGACATGAGGGCGGGGAGGGCAGGGGGAGAAGAGGAAGGAGAGGGTGGGATGAAATGGGAGATTAGGACTGATTATATAAATACACTGCCATGTGTAAAATAGCTAGTAAGAAGCTGCTCTATAGCACAGGGCGCTCAGCTCCATGCTCCGTGATGACCTAGAGCAGGGGATGGAGTGGGACGTGAGAGGGAGGTCCAACAGGGAGGGGATATATGTATGCACGTGGCTGATTCACTTCATTGTACAGCAGAAACTAACACAACATTGTAAAGCAAATATACTCCAATAAAAAAATAAAGGACACATACTGAAAAACAAAACTTATACAAATATCTGCAAAAAGACAACTGCATGGTCAATTAAAAATAAGACTATACATCAAAATTTATAACTTTCTCATCAAAAGGCAGAAATTGAACACATTCCAGACTATATCCTCTAGGGAAGAAATAAGATAGTAGGGTTCGAAGAGAGTAAGGCAAATCTAGAGTCATCCCCACTGTCCACACTTTTAACTATAGCACACAATGTGCAATGATAGGCAGACAGACGTATAGACTAACTACTCAAGATTACCTTCAAAGCCAGGAGAATCCTACCTGTCCTACTTTTACCGACTGTTCATCCTACTTTTACCGACTGTTCATCCCTATACTGAAAGACTATAATTCCCAGCAGGCAACAACGAGAGAAGACAAAAGGGGAATTACCTCCAAGTAAACATTCATCTTTGAAGTCCTAAAATGTTTGTATCCTTCCCATAGAAACCTTAACTTATATAGTGTAGGTATGTTCCTTATAATCTCCAACTAATATAGTCCAATATTAAGAGTGGCACAAAGAAATAAAAAAGGAACTCAAGCTCACTGCCCCTAATAGGAAGTGAAGGAGGGGAACACTCACGTTATCGGGAAGTTGACAATAGTCGGATTCTTCTCCACAAAGAAATTGTTCTTAGTGAATCTCTTAATACAAAAGATTAGATATGGAGGCAGCTTGGTGAGCTGGAAGCGCTTCAGAAAGTTCTCCTTGTAGGTCTTATATTCCTAGAGAGAGAAAAGAAAATGATCAAGTTAGTGTTGGAGCATTAGAGCAGGAACACGAGTTTTGTTTTCGCTTGGTTTGGGTTTTTTAATAGAATTTTGTCTTTCACTTAGAATCCAGAAGACACCTGACACCAGCAACCACCTGAAAGGGTTAAGAATAGCTGTTTGGCCAAAGCCAAAGTACCTCATCTATGGGCTGTGTTTCAGCCAGCACGTGACCAAACTGTTGAATTCTAACCATAGTTATCTATCTACATTACTATCTACCATAGTAATGTAGATATTTGTTTCTATAAGCAAAACAAAAATGTCAAGTGAAAAAGAGGATTTGTTAAAAGTTCAGAATTTAAAAAACCATGAGTTGCTGTTTTAGTCCCTCAGTTGTATCCGACTCTTTGTGACCCCAGGGACTGTAGCCCACCAGGCTCCTCTCTATGTGGGATTTTCCAGGCAAGAATACTGGAGTGGGCTGCCATATCCTTCTCCAGGGGATTTTCCTGATCCAAGGATCAAACCCGTGTTTCCTGCATTGCCAGGCAGATTCTTTACCACTGAGCCACCTGGGAATCCCCTAAAAAAATTAAGAGTTTCACTTAATTCAAAATAAAGAAGAATGTGCTGACCATTTGACCATCAGACACATGCACCACGGAACAGGCACTTGTGACCAACAAGGAGCCCTGGAAAACTGAGGGTTTTCCAGAAGAGCTGTCAACTGACATGCCACGTTCCTTCCTCCTCCCAGGCCCCGAGACTCGTAAGTCAAGTACAGTCTGTTGAGCAACACTTCACTGAGGCCTCACTCAGGACTTCAGTATCTCACTTTCAACAGGGGACCACCAGTCAGGGGAAACAGAAGGCCCAAAGTTCCACCGCCATCAGCGTAATGTACGTTCTCAAGTGCACATGGAATGATCTCCAGCAAAGACCATGTGCTATCCCATAAAACAAACTTCAACAAACATAAAATATAGAAACAACATAAAGTATGTTCTCTGACCACAATGGGATGAAATTATTAACAGAAATCAGCAACAGAAAGAAACTTGCAAAACTCACAAATATATGGAAATTAAACAATATATTCCTTAATAAGTGATGGGTTAAACAAAAAAGAAATAAAAAGGGAAATAAGGAAAGAATTCAAGATGAATAAAAATGAAGATACAACATATAAAAACTTATGGGATGTAGCTAAAGCAGTGGTCAAGAGGTAAATTTATAAATGCCTAGACTGAAAAATAAGATCTCAAATCAATAACCTTCCACCTTAAAACATTGGGGAAAGAGCAAACTAAATGTAAAGCAAGCAGAAAAAAGAAAAAAAAAAAATCAGACCACAAGTTAAAAAAATACAGAATAGAAAAACAACATTTCAGAAAAATCAAAACCTGTTTCTTTGAAAAGACAAGCCTTTAGTTAGTTGAACAAGGCAAAAAAAAATTCAAATTACTAGAATCAAAAATGAAAAAGGGAACATTATTAGGAATTTTACAGAAATAAAAATGATTATAAAGGAACACTATAAACAACTGTATGCCAAAACAGTAGATGAGTTAGATGAAATGGATAAATTCCTAGAAAGACACAAACTACCAAAACTTAAAAAAAAACAATCTGAATAAACCTACAACAAGTAAAGAAATTGAATTAGTCATTAAAAAACTACCCACGAGGAAAAGTCCAGGCCCAAATTTCTTCACTGGTATTTTCTACCAAACATTTAAAGAAATAACACCAATTTTTCAAACATTTTTCCAAAAATATAAGGAGGGAATACTTCCCAACTCCTTTCACGAGGCCAACATTACCCTGATACCAAAACTCAGCACAACTACAGATCAGTATTTCTATGAATATGGATGCAAAATTCCTCAACAAAATACTAGTAAACCAATTCCAACATAAACAACAACAAAGAATTATACACCAATTATACATGACCAAGTATGATTTATCCAGGAATACAAAGGTGGCTTAACATCCAAAAATCAATTAGTATCTTGTACCGTATCATATAATAACAAGAAAATAAGGCAATAAATAGCAAGATAAGACAACAAATAGCAATAACTGAAACCCACACAATCATCTCTGTAGATACAAAAAAGCATTTGACAAAATCCAACACCTTATCATGAGAAAAACACTCAATAGAGACAGAAGGGAACTTCCTCAACCTGATAAAGGGTATCTATGAAAAACAGATATGTGATGTTATCCACAGCTAACATCATACTTACTGGTAAAAGCCTGGATGCTATCCCTCAAGATCAGGTACAAGATAGGATATCTGCATTTTCCACTTCTATTTAACTCTGTACTAGAGATTCCAGCCAGAGCAATCAGGCAATAACACTTAAATAAATATGAAGCATCCAGATTAGAAAGGAAGAAGTAAATTATCTCTGTCTGCAGATGATATGATCTTGCATATGGAAAATCTTAAGAAAACCACTTTAAAAGTTTGGCAAGGTTGCAGGCTACAAAAATCAATATACAAAAATCAACTGTGGGGTCTTCCCTGGTGGTCTAGTGACTGAGAATCCACCTGCCAATGTAGGGGTCATGGGTTCGATCTCTGGTCCAGGAAGATTCCACAAGATCACAACTAAGCCCATGAGCCACAACTACTGAGCCCACTAGACCGAGAGCCTGCACTCTGCAAATAGAGAAGCCACTGCAGTGAGAAGCCTGCACACCACAACGAAGACCCAGTGCAGCCAAAAATTAAAACAATAAAAATTTATATTAAAATAGTTCAAAACTTATACTCCAAAAACTATAAAACACTATTGAAGAAAATTAAAGAAGATAAATAAATAGAAAAATAACCCATGTTTATGAATCAGAAGACTGCTATTATTAAGTTGGTAATAACTCCCAAACTAATCTATAGATTCAACACAATCCCTGTCAGAATATCAGCTGGCTTCTGTGTAAAAATCCACAAGTTGATCCTCAAACTTGAGAAACTGCAAGAAACCCAAAATAACCAGAACAATCTTGTAAAAGAATAAAGTTGGAGAATTCACAGTTTATAATTTCAGAACTAACTACAAAGTAGTAATAACCAAGACTGTGTTCCGGACATATATATCAATGGAACAGAATTGAGAGTCCAAAAATAAACCCATGTGTCTATGGTCAAATGATTTTTCAACAAGGATGCCAACACCATTCAATGGAAAAGAATTGTCTTGTCAACAAATAGTGCTAAGACAACTAGACAGTCACATGCAAAAGAATAAAACTAGACTTTGTACTTTACACTATATACTAAAATTTAACTTAATACACTACTGAACCCACAAGCCGTTACCAGTATGTTTCTAGAGAGTGATACAATAAATACTAATGTGTGAAGTTGTTAGAGCTTAAAATTGATGAAGGGTTCATTACACAACTTATGATTGTCATTATCATTTATGTTTTTCTGTTAGGTATTTGTTCCAGTGAAAATTTTTCAAAAATGATGCATCATGAAATTTTAAGTGAAGAAGAATTTTTCAGGGAATTTTATGCAGATATTTTCTCTGAGTGAGTGATATATACACTAGTGTCTCAGAAAATGACAGTTCTTTGGAATATAGTTCTGATTCAGATGATGTGAATATTAGACCAACAAAAAGACAAAAAACCTTAGTGATTGATTCTGATATGGAAAGTGTAAATGAAACTCATGCTGCTGGAGAGGGCTCCTTTGCTTCTACAGAAGAGTGAACTGAAGACACTGCAATTCAATTAGAAGATTCTACAGGCGCGTCAGGTGTAACTATTGAATGTAATAACTCACAAAGTGTTAGTGAAATAACAGAATTAGTTTCAGGCTAACCAAAATAAACTTACTGACCACAGGCATTAGTTCGCTTCTGCAAAAATCCCCCATCCTTGGTGGCTCAGATGGTGAAGAATCCACCTGCCAATGCAGGAGATGTGGGTTCTATCCCTGGGCTGGGAAGATCCCCTGGAGAAGGAAATGGCAACCCTCTCCAGTATTCTTGCCTAGAAAAATCCCATGGATAGAGGAGCCTGATGGGCTACAGTCCATGGAGTCACAGAAGAGCTGGACGTGACTTAGGGACTAAACAACAACAACAAAGGCCTGAAATGTAAGAGCTAAAACTATGAAAGTCTTAGAAGAAAACAGAAGTAAACTTTCATGACCTGGGATTTAAGAATGGATTCTTACATATGACAGCAAAAGCCCACACTATAAAAGAAAAACTAAATAATTTCATCAAAGTTAAAACCTTTATGCCTCAAATGATACTATCAAGAGGGTAAAAATGCAACCTATAGAATGGGAAAAAATATTTGCAAATCATACAATTTGATGAGTGACTGGTATCGAGACTATATACGGAAATCTTACAACTCAATAATAAAAAGATAAATTAATTTTTTAAATGCACAAAGGTTCTAAATAAGCATTTCTCCGAAGATGATATACAAATAAGCACATGAAATCAATCACCAGGGAAATACAAATTAAAACCATAATCAGATACCATTTCACACCTACTAGGATGCCTAAAACTCGAAGATAAACAATAACAAACGTTGGTGAAGATGCAGAGAAACTGGAATACTCGTATACTGGTGGTAGGAATATAAGACAGTGTAGTCACTTTGGGTCGCTTAGTCATGTCTTTGGGACATGCTCTTTGGGACCCCATGGGCTGCCACTCGCCAGGCTCCATGGAACTGCCCCAGCAAGAACACTGCAGTGGATTGCCAATTTCTTCTCCAGGGAATCTTCCCGACCCAGGGGTCGAAACTGCATCTCCTGCACTGGCAGGTGGATTCTTTACCGCTAAGCCACTAGGGAAGCCACAGTGTAGTCACTTTGGAAAACAGTTCTTCAAATGGCTAAACGTAAGAGTTACCACCCAGCAATTCCACTCCTCAATATCCAGCCAAGAGAAATGAAAACTTGTCCATAAGAAAAACTTGTAGACTGACCATGATCTCAAAGTTTGTTTCAAAGTTTGCAAGCATCAAGTGTCATTCAAAACTGATTAGTTGCTGTCTAGGGCAGGGGGACACAAGGGGGTTAAAATGATAACTAAAGGGTGATTAAAAAAAAAAAAAATCAATGATGAAAGTACTCTAAAGCTGACCAGATCTGTGGTAGCCCATATCTGTGAATATAGTAAAGCAAAACAAAACAAAAAAACCTGCACGGGTGGAGGAAGGGGAGGAATTTCACACTGGACATCAGTACCGCATTCACACAGCAAGGTTTTAGCTAAACTCACATTACAACAGTGCTATTAACCAGTTTCAATAATTTCAAAGTTTTGTTTATATAAAAGTTGGTTATAATTTAGTACTTTCCTTAAAAACCATAGGTATGAAAAGTGTATACCAATGTTGATGTTTACACTGATTTAAGTAATACTATCATAACAATAAATGTAAACCAATACTGAGGGTCCACAGGAATCTCAATATTACTTATATTTGAACAAACAGTAATAATAAGAGACCATGTGGTATAATTGAAAAAGTCAGTTGAAAAATCTTACTTTAGACCCCCAGCTCGGTCACGTAAAATCAGTATAAAACTCGGTCACGTAAAATCAGTATAAAATAAAACCAAATAAAATAAACAGATCTAGATAAGCCCTAAGGTCTTTCACCTCCCCCAAATGAAATGAGTCTAAAAGAGAGAGGGAAAAGGGTCCGGAATGAGGCATCAAGTAAAAAAAAATTTTTTTTAAGTTTAAAAGAATGAAAAAGGATTAAATTTATCTAGGATGAAGAAAGGAATTAAACCAAGAAACAACTAACTCTGCAGATAAAAAGAAACTTTCAACTTGATGAAAGGTAATGTTATAAAGTAAGAATACATTTTTTCATTTTATTTGTATTTTAGTGTTTTTCTTCTGTTTTAATATCTACATTATATTTTTTAAAAGACAGGAGTTTTTCCTACTTTTGTGAGTTTCTACTCTCCTAAATACCCTCTCCTTTCTCCATACTACCCAGAGTCATTTTAATTCAAGCTGAACTGTGAAAGTGTTAGTAACTCAATCATGTCTGACTCTTCATGACCCCATGGACTATAGTCTGCCAGGCTCCTCTGTCCATGGAATTTTCCAGGAAAGAATACTACAGTGGGTTGCCATTTCCTTCTCCAGGGGATCTTCCCAACCCAAGGATCAAACTCACATCTCTTGCATCTCTTGTTTTGGCAGGTGGATTCTTTACCACCTGAGCCACCGGGGAAGCCCCCAGGTAGAGAATCCACCTGCAATGCAGGAGACCTGGGATTGATTCCTGGGTTAGGAAGATCCCTTGGAGAGGGAAATGGCAACCCAGCCCAGCATTTTTGCCTGGGAAACCCCATGGACTGAGGAGCCTGGTGGGCCTCAGTCTATGGGGGCACAAAGAGTCAGAAACGACTGAATAACTAACACTTTCACTAACCTTTCAATTCAAATTGAGTTGAAGGTAGAACAGCAGAAAGTCTGGGAGGCTCAATAAACACCATACACTTTAAAATACATGCATTACACACATGTGGCGATTTTTAAGTATAAAAAGAAAAACGTCAAAGTGAAAAGGTTGGACTTTCCTGGTGGTCAAGAATCCACCTGTCAATGCAGGGGATACAGGTTCGATCCCTGATCTGGAAAGATACCACATGCCACAGGGCAACCAAGCCCACAAGCCACGAATACTGAAGTCCATGCGCCTAGAGCCTGTGCTCCACAAGAGAAGCCACCACAATGAGAAGCCCACTCAACACAAGACAGTAGCCCCCACTTACCACAACTATAGAAAGCTCACAGGCAGCGGCAAAGACCCAGCACAACTCCCCTCCTCAAAGAATGATATATTTAAAAAAAGAGAGAGGAAGAGAAAGGGTTATGAGCAGGGCAGGTGTGCAAATGGGCTACCTTCTCAGTGATGCCATTGAACTTGGCCAGGATGTTGAAGAGAGGCACCTGGGGGATAATGAGCTGCTCCTTCTCATCCTTGTACAGGGGGGCGGTGGGAAGGTCCAGTGTCAGGTACATAAATGTGGACTCCACCATCGTCTCCTGGTACTCGTCATTATGCAGCAGTTGCTCTTTCTCTTCTGCTGGCTAGAAGTGAGGGAGAAGGAAAAGGAGGGAAGGAGTGTGAGCAGAACAGAATACCACAGCTGGAAAGAAATGAGGTTTCTGGGACGCTTACATTTACTTCATTTAATATTGAAGGCAGAAGGGGTACCCAAGAGACTGTGCAATTCCACAGGCACTTGCACAACCTGTTTGCATGCGTGTGTGCTCAATTGTGTCTGACTCTTTGCGACCCTGTGGACTGTAGCCCATCAGGCTCCTCTGTCCATGGGAATTTTCCAGGCAAGTGTACTGGAGTGGGTTGCCATTTCTTTCTCCTGGGGATCTTCCCAACCCAAGGATTGAACCCACATCTCCTGCATCTCCTGTATCTCCTGCATTTGCAGACAGATTCTTTACCACTGAGCCAGCTGGGAAGCTCTATAAATTAATGCAGAAACTGGTCTTTCATCTTCAGACAGATATTATTTAAATACCAAACTATCTGAAATCTAGAAAGTTTATCTGAGCTTTTGGAAAAAACACACTAGCACCACCTAGTGGCCAGAACACTGAAATCAGTCATCCCTCCTTACGTATGGTTGCCTCCAGGACCTGCCTTGGATACCAAATTCCACAGATGATCAAGCCCCAACCAACTGCTAAATGTACACAGAGTGCTTTTATATACAGAAAAAAATCCATGTATAAGTGAACCAGTGCAGCTCAAAACTGTGTTGTTCAAAGGTAAACTGTACAATCAATCACCACCTCCCAAACTTAGCACACTGGTACACAGGAACACTTGGCAGGCGCCTTGCAGAACCTCTTCCTGGAGCAAAAGGCTGTACCAGTTATCTAAGCATCTTTTTGTCAACTCTGAATCCTCTCAGGCAATATAGACCAGTCCAAGCCACTCACCAGATCAGGATGAGGCAGTTTTTTAGTGAAGATCCTCATGGATCCCTGGAAAACGTCAGTTACAATTGCTGTACAAACAGAAATCAAAATGTAACTTCTGTGTTGAAAGCATTTCCAAAATTCAGTCCTAACTCCTACATTTCTGAAATAAATCAGCATCTTACAGCATAAGACCCAAAGCTCTCACTTAAATCAGAAATAATTTTGTAACATATACCAAAAAATTGTACCTTTCTACTTATTTATGTAAATAATTACTCTAGGGGACTTCTAAGACTCTGTGCTCCCAACGTACGGGCCTTGGTTTGATCCCGGGTCAGGAAACTAGATCCGACATACCAAAACTAAGAGTTTGTACGCCACACGCAACTGAGACCTAGTGCAGCCAAATAAATAAATATTTTTTAACAATTATTCTATGTCTTTCTTCTCCCCAAGATGGATGGGGTGGGCAGGCTGAAGACACCTAAAGAGGGAGCAGGGCCATCTCATAAAAAGAGCACCAGGCCACAATCCCACATCAAGAAACCAACACCATCAGAACACAGAGAGAAGAAAACTCCGTTAGGTCTCCAAAACAACTTACCTGGTTCGGCAGTCTCTAAGCTAAGAGTTATTTAAGGCATTCATGAAAAATGTCCAACTACCGCTAAGCCAACCTGGATGCTAAGAACACAGGGACTCGAGGTCTGACTCTACAGGGAGGCCAGCCTATCTCTCCAAGTATAGGCTCAAGGCAAGAAACTAGCTTTTAGTCTGTTATTCTGAAGAAGCAGCCAGGCCTGAGGACTATCCACTAAGTCTTCACTCTGGTCCCACCAGCCCACCAGCATGTCTACAACCCATGTCCAGCCTCTCAGTTTAAAACTAGGTCAGGATTTCTAGAGTATAACCATATCCATTTCTACTTTTTAAAAATACCATTATATACAAGCATGCTCTAATAAAGAAAAATGGAAAGGAAGCTATTCAGGAACAAGATTTAGCCCATGTGTACAGAGACTCTACCCTGACACAAAAAATACACAGGTAAGAAGAAAGGATGAAAAGTTGCACAGTGTTTCCAAAAGGAAGCAAACAAAAAAGTGCTCTCCTTCACAAAATAACACGACTTACTCTTTTTTTTCTTCTTCGTGCCCCCCAGAGCTGAGTGTAGAGCATTCAAAAACCAGGACAGAAAATCAACTCCATCCCCTGGAAAAGGAGAGGTGGGACATCAGACTGAATCAAAGTCCAAACCACACGCTGGTTGGCATGACTCCACATTCTAAGTTTTCCTCCTTCCTCTCTGGCCATCCCATCCCGTGGGCAACCTCCTCTATCTGGCCACTATACACTGACACTCCTCAAGGCCAAGATCTTAGTCTTCTGACCTTTACTCACCCCCTAGACTATCTGGCTCAACCAGAACTTTCAGTCATCATCTCTATTCCAACCTTGAGTCTCATCATCCATCAAAAGTCATTACTGGGAGTTCCCTGGGAGCCAGTGGTTATGAATCAGCACGCTCACTGCCATGGACTGGTTCCAACCCTGGTCAGGTAACTGAAATCCTGAAAGCCACACAGCTCAGTCAAAATATTAAAATAATAATAATAGCCATTACTGAATTTCTAAGTCACTCAACAAGAATGTTTTAAAACAAACATGTGACAGCATATCTTCACTTAAGAGCTTTCACTGACTCCCCACTGTTATCAGGATGTAATCCAAGTTCCTTATAGTAGTGGAAAATAAACCCAACCACTTAGTCCATCTCGGCACTCACTGTTGGATCCAAAGGTCCGGCTACAAGCAGTCCTCTCTCTGTGCCAGGCACCTCCAGGCTCCTGTCCAGTGTCCTCTCTACCTGGAATGCCCACCCCCAGCCTGTCTCCCCACTACCTAAAACTCAGGTGTCTCTTCCTTCTCTCTGAACCTCAGCTCACCTCCCATGTGTTCAATGGGCCTCTGTGCTCTATGAACCCTCACAGAGCATGCTGTGCTTCTGCTATCACAGCACTTAACACCTATAATCATCTTTCTACAGAACTATCTTCCCCACTAGAACAGGGGCTCCTGGAAGGAAAAAACTGTGTTTTTTAACCCTGTAGCATTAAAACCTAGCACCATGAGTGAATGGTCAATCAACTGACCTGGAAACTAGAGAGTATCATATCACATCCAGGGACTATGAGCTACTCGTGTGGCAATAAATCACTGGGTTTGGAGGGATAAAAACAGTCAGAATAGAACAGTCTGCAACATGACAAAAAGAGAAGCAAAAGTGGCAGGCACTTAATAATGGTTGGTGCCTTTTCCAGCCTCCTGGTTTTCCCGAGTCGTAGTTTAGTTCAGCCAATGAGACAGACTTCCTATCCAGCTGACAACCCCTGGGACTCTGGGCAGGGCAGGCTGATGAAGGAAGAGTGAGGAACCTGAACATGCTATGCACTGGACACTCGCTCCGGCTACAGGAGAGTTCACTGCAAAGTAGAAGTAAATGTGCTCACCAAACTAGTGCTGTTGCCCAAAAGTCAGAAGACACGAATTACTCCTTCCTTACCCTGTTTTGTTATCTGAAAAGTCTTCTTGCTGCAGAGGACAACAGCCTGCAGCATTTCATGGGGAGAGACGTGTGCCTTGAAATTGCGAGGGTTCCAGAGTTTTCTCATCAGCTCTCCGAAACGCTGGACCAACAAGAACATGATATCCCCAGGAGGACGTTTGATATTCTTATAATTGTCTTCTTCCAGGAAGTAGTTCCGGAGAGGAGGAACGTTAGACAGAGCCTGAAAATCAAACATTCCAATTAATCCACAGCCCTTCGGCCGGACCCCTGGGACTTAGGCTCATCTACTTAAGCTCTTCTAAAAACTGTTACACCTTAAAGAATCAGAAGTAAAGGTGTCTTTCCGACATGTGGTATTAAGAGGGTGGTAATAAAGCCATACAACTGTATATAAAAATAAATGTACTCTGTTATGATGGATAAATAGTCAAAGAGTTTAAGAGAATAGAAATTAATTTTATCTCATTAAGCAAAAAGATAAAGACCCACCATGTTAGTTCAAGAAGAAACACATGCTTATTAGTGTGATATATGAAACGGGGAAGGAGACCACAGAACAGACTCTAAATAAATACAGTCTCTGGTCTTTTCTGATAGGGTCATGAATTCTCATCAGCGTTGTGCTTACCATGAGCACAACTTTCTTTGACAAGGTAATCCCTTTAGCAAGGAGTATGGAAAAATGCTGCTAAATATATAAACCGAGGCATCTCTGGGGAAAACAATTCAGGGGGAAACTCAGGATAATGATAGAGGTGATCAGGAAAGCCTCTACAAGTTTGGGGCTTCCCTGCAACGCAGGAGATGCAGGTTCAATCCCTGGGACAGGAAGATACCATGGAGGGGGAATGGCAACCCACTCCGGTATTCTTGCTTGGAGCATCCCATAGACAGAGGAGCCTGGCGGGCTACAGTCCATGTGGTAGCGAAGAGTTGGACATGACTGAAGCAACAGCCCGAAAGTCTACAAGTTTAGCTCAGCCAAAGAAACAAGGATTTCCTGCTGAGAAACTGAAAGTAAAAGTTGTTCAGTGTGTCCAACTCCTTGCGACCCCATAGACTGTAGTCCATGGAATTCTCCAGGCCAGAATACTGGAATGGCTATCCTTTCCCTTCTCCAGGGGATCTTCCCAACCCAGGGATCGAACCCAGGTCTCCTGCATTGCAGGTGGATTCTTTACCAGCTGAGCCACAAGAGAAGCCCTTCCTGCTGCAAGTTACTCTTAAAAGGAAAAGCGTGTGGATAAAGTTTATCCTAGTTCTGTTATCCATGCTCCACTATGGACAGAGGTTATTCCCTGGCTTCAGTAACAACACAAATAGCAGGTGTCCTCAGAGAGAAATTAATCAGCTCTGTGGAGTACTTGGTCCATTCAGTAACATTTTAGTGGAAACATCACAGAGGATTTGTTCATCTACTTACATGTATAAATAAAAAGAACTTCCTATGGGGGCTAAAACCCATCACAAAGTCACAACTTCCCTAACTATATTCAAAACCCTATCTGTCCTCGAACAGTCTTCACAAAGCCATGAGAGGCTATAAAAGGAAAAGTCAGCAAAATCTCTCTCCATCTAAGAACTCAACCTTTCCAAGGACCAGAAACATTCAAATACTAAGATCATGGCATCTGGTCCAAATACTTCATGGCATATAGATGAGGAAACACTGGAAACAGTGAAAGACTTTATTTTCTTGGGTTCCAAAATCACTGCAGATGATGACTGTAGCCATGAAATTAAAAGACACTCGCACCTTGGAAGAAAAGCTATGACAGACCTAGATAGCGTATTAAAAAGCAGAGATACCACTTTGCTGACAAAGGTCTGTATAGTCATAGCTATGATTTTTTTCCAGCAGTCATGTATGGATGTGAGAGTTGGACCATAAAGAAGGCTGAGCGCTGAAGAATTGATGCTTTCAAACTGCAGTACTGGAGAAGACTCTTGAGAGTCCCTTGGACTGCAAGGAGATCCAACCAGTCAATCCTAAAGGAAATAAACCCTGAATATTCATTGGAAGGACTGATGCTAAAGCTAAAGCTCCAGTACTCTGGCCACCTGATGCAAAGAGCTGACTCACTGGAAAAGACCCTGATGTTGGGAAAGATAGAAGGTAGGAAGAGAAGTGGACAACAGAGGATGAGATGATTGGATGGTATCACCGACTCAATGGACGTGTTTGAGCAAGCTCTGGGAGATGAAGGACAGGGAAGCCTGGCGTGCTGCAATTCATGGGGTTACAAGGAGTCAGACACAACTTAGCGACCAGACAACAAGGGACCAGGCATGACACCAACGGCAGACAGCAAAACTCAAGAGATATGTTTTTGCAATGTTTTACCTAATTCTTTATGCAAAAATACCATACACAAAGTTTAAAGGCCAACCAAATAAGAACTAGAATATGTGCAACACACACATACACACATATATATATAAAAATATACACATACTTTTAAAACTCAATATAAAAAAAATAAAATAAAACTCAATATAGTGTAACACAGAAAAATGAGCACATAAGGCCCACAACTCATGAAAAAATATAAGACTCAACTTTAGAAATTAATTTTAAAAAGTAAGTTAAAATGGAGATACTTTTGATGGAGTTCTTCCATCAAAATGGAAGAACTTTTTTTTAATGGTAACAGTGACAATGGGACACCCCTTTGGGAATCCTCCTACACTGTTAGTAGGAACGTATCAATAAATTGGTGTAGCGACTACGGAGAAGAGCATAAAGATTCCTTAAAAAACTAAAAATAGAATTACCATAAGATCCAGCAACTCCACTCCTGGGCATACATGCACCCTAATATACATTAAAGCACTATATACAATAGCCAAGATACGGAAACAACATAAATGTTCATCAACAGATGAATAAAGATGTGATACACACACACACATGGAATACTACTCAGCTGTAAAAAAAAAAAAAAGAAAAATGAAATAATGCCATTTGCAGCAGCATAGATGGACCTAGAGATTATCATACTAAGTAAAGCCAGAAAGAGAAAAATTCCATATGATATCACTTACATGTGGAATCTAATACACAATTTATCTATGAAACAGATTCACTGACACAGAAAACAAATTTATGGTTACCAAAAGGGATAAATGAGAAATTTTAGATTAGCAAATAAAAATTACCATATTTAAAATAAACAACAAGGTCCTACTGTATAGCATAGGGAACCATATTCAATATCCTGTAGTAAATCATAAGAGAAAAGAATATGAAGAGGAAAATAAATATCTGTAACTGATTCACTTTGCTGTTTATCAGAAACTAACACAACATTGTAAGTCAACTATACTTCAATTAAAAAAAAAAAAGAGCAGCCTTTTCTGTGGCTGGTGGGTTTATAAACCACTACAACTCCTCTATAGCCTAGAATCAAGGCTCACAGTGCATTAATACACTGTGGAGGTTGAATGAATCAAATTCAACAAAACAGAATGACATGTAATCATTAAGGATGCTGCACAAGAATATTTACTGATTTCACAATAGGCTTTTAAGTTGAAATATCTACAAAGATACACACATATACTATGTTACTTTCTAGATTAAAAATCCAAGTATTTGAAAAGTCTAGAAAAGAAATAAAACAAAATGTAAGAGTGTCACAAAAAGTGCAAGACTATATATATTGAAGGATACACACTGCAACACTGGTAACAGAAAAAACCCTGAGACAAGTGAAATTTTATCTATCAATTGAGGAATAACAAAATAAACCATAATATTGCCATATGACATTATGCCTGTGTGTGTGTGTGTGTGTGTGTGTGCATATGTGTGTGTGTTTAGAACAGTTCTGGAGCTCTCTATACTGTTAACTACCCCAGGACAGAGCACTAGGGAAAGGAATAAAGCTCTCATGTTATACTTTCTGTATCCTTCTTCCCCACTCTCTGCAATTTGTTTGTAGTTTAATCATTTTTTTTTTGAGTGAGGCAGAATTACTGTTAATTTTCTTATTTACACTTGTCAATATTTTCTACAATGTACACTATTACTCATGTAATTTTTTTTTAAAGCAAAACTTAATTGCAAATAGGACAACTTTGGCTTTCTGCTTTTCCCATTTCAGGGTTTACACACAGGGGCAGGAGAGTGACACCTCAGAGCCAACACAATGAACATCTACACCATGGAAAAAAAAAGCATTACCTAGCACACATGTCTCTTATTCGGTCCTGCAGGCCACATGCAGATTCTACCCCTCATTCCCCGTACACTCCAGAGGCTGAAACAGGCCCACCATTTGGCAGCAGCCCTCAAGCAGACACAGGAGAGTTCTGCTTGGTGCAGAACAAATAGGAGAGCAGAGTTCCCAGCAAAGAATCAGGATCTGAGGACCACCAGACTCCACCAGAAAGCAGTCGTTTCCTGGCTGACCTTCAGTGTTCCTAGGTTGCCCCCACCGCACGGTTCCCATCCCATCCTACCCTACCTGAAGGACGGCGTTGGCGTAGTCATTGGCCTTTATGTTATTCAGGCCCACAATACCTGGCAGGTAAGTGGTGCCGTCATATGCCCGGGACAACTTGGCTTGCTTGTCCAAGTTAGCGATCTGCTGCTTTGTGAAAGTGGGCTTCAACACATACTGCAAAACAAAAGAAAATTCCAAGCTGTTTTAGGACAATCTATAGAGCTGATAGGACATATTTGCAACAGCAATTTCTACCAAAAGCAAAAAATACTTTGCCATGAACAGCCACCCAAAGGGTTCCCAACAGTAGGTCTAAGGATGGAGGTGACATGGAACGGGCCCACTGAACACTGCTCATCCATAAAAAGGTGAATATCAAAACCCCAAAATCACTGAGTCCCAGGCCTTCCCTCAGAGAGCATGTCTGGCCAACCCCATAACAAACAACAGTGAGAAACTGCAGGATACTCAAGTCTGCAGGCGGCGGGAGTCTGAGTCCCAGGTAGAAGCTCACGCAGGGTCAGCACGAGGGCCGGTGCATAAGCAGGAATGTCGTTCCCCCTCTCTGTGGAGGTCTGAGATGCTGTGACTCCCTGCGACTGAAGGGGCAGGATCAGACCCTTCCCAGTCCTAGAGCTACGAGGGTCATTAGGTCACAGCCTGGTCAGAAGGCGCCACTGACTCACTGTGTTTCTGTTTTATGTTTTTGTTTTTTGGCCGAGAGGCATGTGGGATCCCAGCTCCCAGACCAGGGATCGAACCTGCACCCTCTGCATTGGAGGCATAGTCTTGACCACTGGACCACCAGGGAAGTCACCACTGACTCACTTTGAAAGCTTGAATTAAAAAAAAAAAAAGCTTGAATTCCTTTCAGTTTCTCCCTCTGTGCATAACCACTTAAAACTTCAATTTTAACAGACTATGAAACTTATGGAAGTGGGGTAAGTAGTGTTTCAAACACTCTGAACACCAAGCTTTCCTTAAATAAAGCATTCCACTCTACTGAACATGCAGCCACTTGCTGAAAAGGAAAACAATAATCAACAGTTCCAACAGTAATCAAAGCCCAAGATGATTTTCCAGGCTCCCCACTTAAGTACAGGGGCTCCTGGCATAAGGCACAAATCAGAGCCTGCAGGTGGAACATGTTGGCCATTTTGGCCACATCATGTCAAAAGGAGCCATGCATGCGTGCTAAGTCACTTCAGTTGTGTCCAACTCTTTGCGACTCTATGGACTAGAGCCCACCAGGCTCCTCTGTCCATGGGGATTCTCCAGGCAAGAATATTGGAATGAGTTGCTATGCCCTTCTCCATGGGATCTTCTCCACCCAGGGAGTGAACCCGTGTCTCCTAGTCTTCTGCATAGGCAGGCAGGTTCTTTACCACTAGGGCCACCTGGGAAGTCCAAAAGGAGCTGTGAACTGGCAAAAAATCTCTGTCCTACACCTGGCTACACCAGGCTCAATTCACATCACTACACCAATGTGTGGAAGGGTAATTTATTTCACAAAACTGCTTTTACTCCAATCAGAAAGGAGCCTTATTTCTTCAGTCCTAACTAAAAACCGAAATGATAGCTAGGCTGCAGACCATGGGCCATGACTACGAACTGGGGGACTTCCCAGGCGGCTCAGTGGTCAAGAATCTGCCTACCAATGAAGAAGAAGTAGGATTGAGCCCTGGGTCAGGAAGATCCCCTGGAGGAGGAAATGGCAACCCACTCAAGTATTCCTGCCTGGAAAACCCCATGGACAGAGGAGCCTGGTGGGCTACAGTCCATGGGATCCCAGAGAGTCAGATATGACTATGCGACTTAGCACATATGACCTCTTTCTTCAGTTTCCCTGGTTCCTCCCAAAGGGAAAGGAGATTCTCCAAGTCCAAAGGACTGAGACTCTTTCCTGACCTTGAGTGGGGCAGACCCCCAGGAGCCCTGAGGTAGCTCCCAAGAGAACTAGTTCCAAACCAACCCTCTTGGACACACACCGTGATATCCTCTAGTGAGGAATCGATGATCTCATAGTTGTCAGGGAGGCAGTAAAACTTGAGGGTGTGGAGGTTGAGGAAGACATGGTGACTAAACTGGACACTGTGAATGTAGGCGTGAGACTTCAAACCCCGGCCTGCAGGAAGGAGGGAAGGCTGTGAGAGAAGCACAAACTCCAGAAGTGCATTGATCGCGTGTAATTTTCCCTTCTTCATTTTGTACCAGAACATGCTAATATCAGCAAAAACAAAGTACTACACCATTCATGAAAATTCATCTCTGCATGAACTCCTCTCATCATACAAGTTAGCAAGAAAGAATAGCCCTTTATTCTCTAGACAGCATAAAACATAGGGGGACTAATTTCACATACACGAATACGGAAAACGTGTGGGTATCTGTGAGTATGTGCATATGTGTATGTATGTATGTGTGAGTATGTATATGTGTATGTATTCAAGCTAGTTTCATGTGCTATCAAGAAACTAGGGATATGCACATATATATTATAAATAATACATGTACATACACATATGTACGTATCTCCATCATCACTTAGTCCTAATTTTTCAGCTGCCCACATTCAGGACAATCCCATATCTATGTAACCTTTGTTCACATTACCACTCCTTTCTAGAATATTTCACCCTTCACCCATTCAAACTCTGTATATCCTGCATACAGGGAACAAGTTTCTCCTCCACCTCCTTCATGAACTTGACACAAACATTCCAGCTAACAGTGATCTTTGCATATTTCAACTCCTATCGTCCTTATTTATTTACACTCAGTGCCACATGGGCCAGCAGTAATCTTTATGGTCTTAAGAGAGTTTGCTGATTGTTTTATGTGTTACCCTTGACTACTTATAAGATCCTTATAAGAGCAAGGAATGTACTTTACATTTCTTCTATATCCTCCATTATACTATGCAAATAGCACTAGCTTGGTCTGAATAAACTGATATAGTTAATTTTCAGAAAAGGACAGAATGAAAAACTCCTTACAGTAAAAGAATTCTCAGAAAAAGACAGAGCATAGAAAAATATCAGAGATTAAAAAACGCAGAGCCGGTCAGCACCAGGGGCCAGCCAATCCCAGAGCTCTCCCCAGCAGTCGGTTCACAGGCCAAACAACCAAACAGAAAAGTTAAATAAATAGCAACAAGGCCAGAGGCAGTGGGGCTGGAGATAGCAGGGCATCAGTGGCCTCGCCTGTCCTCATTCACTGGTGACAACCAGCATTAGGCAGAGAAAGCCACCACCTTAAAAAAATAACAATAAAACTAGAGCTTCTGAGATTTCCCACAAAGTCTCACACGTGGTGAGTTCTTTCTCCTTTTCACATGTATTCAGATTCCGACAAATAGAGAACCTCCTATGGATTTTCTAAGAGTATTCCAATTTCCTGGGAACAAAGATAAGGTTTATTAGACATGACTCTTAACAGCAACTTACTCTCTTAAAAAAACAACAACAAAAACCCACAGACCTGTGGCTAATGCTGAAAACACAATGCAAAATATTTATTTACCTTGAAAATACTTGCCACACACCAGACAAGCATATGCATTGATGTGCGAGAGGGAGATGGAACACAATTTCTCAAAGTCAAAGTCCAGCACACTCCTAAGAGGATGAAAACAAAACAGAAACAGTTAATGGTGATGGCTGCCCAGGTGAGCACCTGAGTAAAGCAGCACTGTTGGCTCCATGCTTCCCAGAGTCATGCAGCATCCTTCCAAGAACAGATCAACAATCACATGCAAATTGTGGGGAATGTTAACTCTTCCTTACTTAGACATTCAGGCTTTCCTGGTGGCTCAGATGGTAAAGAATCTGCCTACAGTGCAGGAGACCTGGGTTCAATCCCTGGGTTGGGAAGATTCCCTGGGGAAGGGAATGGCTACCCACTCCAGTATTCTTGCCTGGAGAATTCCATGGACAGAGAAGCTAGTGGGCTACAGTCCATGGGGTTGCAAAGAGTCAGACACAACTGAGCAACAAACACTTTCACCTAGACATTTAATATAGTGCCCCAACCCACCAACCCCCAAAGTAGTGCAAAGGTATTTCTACAATGACCCTCTTCAAGTATCCACAACCAGTTGAGAATCTCCCATTACTTTCTCTGGAGGAAAAGCCACAAGTAGGACTAAATTAGCAGGGCACCAACAACATTCCAAAGTATAAGACATAAAATGAAGGACATAAAAAGAGTGAATAACCCCTTTCATAAAAGAAAATTTTATTTTTGTCCATTAAAAAAAGTTAGAAGCCTGAAGAATTTTAGGGGAATACCTACAAAAAGATCTATCTGTTCAAGTGCAAAGTCACAGTGAGTACCAGGCAAGTTAAGTGATTAAAAAAAAGTTACCTCTACTAAATCCACAGGTGGCAAGGGTTTTCCTTCTCAAGCATTAACTCTAATTAATCACTAATGGTCCCTGGAAAGCTGCACTGTCCACTAAAGGGGCCACTAGCCACACACAGCTATTGATGTAAAACAATTAAAATTTAAAATTCAGTTCCTCAAGCCACATTTCAAGGGCTCAACAACCACAAGTGGTTTGTGCCTACCACAGTGGGCAATTCCACTGTTGCAAAGAGCAATTCCAATGTTGCAAAAAAAGTCTAGTAGTCAAGGCTACACTAGAGCCTAAGTGAAAAAACCATCCTGTAATGCATCTGGGACCAAAGAATGCATTGGGATGAGATGACCACCTCTGCTTTAGGACATGTCTTTGTCTGTTTTTTCTTTGCTGAATCCCAGGCACCAAGAGCAGCATATCATGTGTGTTCGTGCTCAGTGGTGTCAGACTCTGCAACTCCATGGACCGTAGCCTACTAGGCTCCTCTGTCGGTGCGATTTCCCAGGCAAGAATATTGGAGTGGGTTGCCATTTCCTCCTCCAGGAGATCTGCCTAATCCAGGGATTGAACCCAAGTCTCCTGCATCTCTTGCACTGGGAGGCAGATTCTTTACCCACTGAGCCACCTGGGAAGCCCCAGCACATACTGAGTGCTCAATAAAAATTTAAATTGGCGATTGCCATTGATCCTTTTACTTCCTCATACAAATTCAAAATGAGCTGAAAGCTCTTTCTGCATGTGCCACCCTAAAACAACATGCCCTCTGACACTTTAAAAGGGGGAAGATTAAAAAACCTGGCAAGAAGCACAGTTTTCTGGGCAGAAAGCTTTAGAAGAGATAAAGTTTCTGAACATATCATACAATACAAAGAATTTTCTACAAAGATTCCATTGTATGTCTGCTGACCCAGGCAACCCTGTGCTACCCACCTGTTAATGGTATCCAGGTACGGGCAGTGGCGGCTCCTCCGGTCCTCAGAATCCACGCGGCCATTCTTTGCTGAAAGGAAAATCATCAAAAGCTCTGAAAATGGGAAACCCATACTCACGGTCAACTACCAATACAAACAAACACAAAAATGGGAAAAACTAATCAGGACAAGTTCTGTTACAAATAGCCTGAAAACACCCCAAAATGCCCACTTTAACGGAAAGTGAAAGTGTTAGTTGCTCACTCGTATCCAACTCTTTGCGACCCCATGGGCTATAGCCCTCCGTCCATGGGGTTCTCCAGGCAAGAGTACTGGAATGGGTTGCCATTCCCTTCTCCAGGGGATCTTCCCAACCCAGGGATCGAAGCCAGGTCTTCTGTGTTGTAGGCGGACTCTTTACAGTCTGAGCCACCAGGCTACAAACTGAGACAATATACTTGAAACACATAAAACCAACAAAGAAATTGCTTGCAGTTACATAAAGAAATCTGGTGAAGAGTTTTTAAAAAAGACAACCTAACAGAAAATGAGGAAGACAGCCCACAAATAAATGAAAACATGCTCAGCTTCACCAGTAATTAAGAAAATGCAGATTTCCTTGCACAATAATATACCACTTCACACCTACCAGAGAGAATAAGACAAAATCAAGCAATTCCAAGTGTTGGCAAATATGAGGAGCAATGAGAAGGCTCATAGACTGCTGGTGGGAATGTAAACTCTTATAACTTCTTAGAAAATAGTGCAGCTAAACTGAAACTGAAAATATACAGACCCTTTGACCCAGCGATCTCTCTTCCATTAATACTTATATCTACCCTAGAGAACTTTTGCACAGGTGCATCAAGAATATTTTACTAAAAAATATTTATAGCTAAAATATTTGAAAGAGATCCAACTGGAAACAACCAAAATGCCTACCACATACCAAAAATGGGAGAAATCGGGTTTGATCCCTGAGTCAGGAAGAGAGGAAATGGCAACCCACTCCAGGATTCTTGCCTGGAAAACTCCATGAACAGAGGAGCCTGGCAGGTTACAGTCCATGGGGTCACAAAGAGTTGGACAGGGCTGAGCATACACACACATATCATCAATAGAACACCTTGTTGTCATGAACATCTACGTGAATGAACCTCCACAATATGACTAGTTTTTTTAAAAAAAGGGCAAAACAGAAGACTATATATAGTATGATTCCATTTATAATAAAAACAAAATAAAATACAGTTCTACTTAGGGATCTATATGAGGTAAAGCTATAATTTACCTCATAATATACATGAGGTAAATACATATAAACTATAAAAGTTTATAGTTTATATATATAGTTTATAGTTTTACATTTATATAAACTATAAAACAATAAAAGTAGAAACAGAAAAACTTCAGAACAGTGATTACCCCAGCAAGCAAGGAAGGCAGATGCAACTGGGAAGGGGCCTGTTGGACCTTCTAAGGTACCGGCTTAAACCTCAACATTCAAAAAACTAAGATCATGCCATCCAGTCCCATCATTTCATGGCAAATATATGGAGGGAAAGTGTAAACGGTGGCAAATTTTAGTCTCTTGGGTTCCAAAATTTACTGTGGAAGGTGACCGCAGCATGAAATTAAAAGATGCTTGCTCCTTGGAAAAAAAGCTATGACAAACCTAGACAGCATATTAAAAAGGAGAGATACCACCTTGCTGACAAATGCCTGTATAGTCAAAGCTATGGCTTTTCCAGTAGTTATGTACAGATGTGAGAGTTGGACCATAAAGAAGGCTGAGTGCCGAAGAATGAATGCTTTCAAATTGTGGTGCTAGAGAAGACTCTTGAGAGTCCCTTGAGAGCAAGAAGACCAAATCAGTCAATCCTAAAGGAAATCAACTCTGAATATTCATTGGAAGGACTGATGCTGAAGCTCTAATACTTTGACCACCTGATGCAAAGAGCCGAATCACTGGAAAAGACCCCTAATGTTGGGAAAGATTGAGGGCAGGAGGAGAAAGAGGCAACAGAGAATGAGATGGTTGGATGGCATCACTGACTCAATGGACACAAGTTTGAGCAAGCTCCGGGAGATGGTGAATGACAGGGAAGCCTGGTGTGTGGCAGTCCATGGGGCTGTGAGGAGTCAGACACGACTGAGCAACTAAACAACAAGGTATTAGTTAAGCACCATGTCTGAAGCTGAACAGTGTCAGGAGGCAATTCTGCATTGCTCTCTCCTGTTTCTGCATATACTGTGACCAGAGATACTAACCACCTCCAGACTATCTCGCCAAAGATGCTTGTATAGTGAAGTTTGTTTGTACAGCCTTGGAAGTCAGAGATCATCTGTCCTTACAGAGCAAAGGTGAGGCAAGTTCAAGGCCCACTGTAGAAGACTTGGGTTCTCTAAGCTCAGAGTTATTGTCTTGTACGCCCACTCCCAGTGTGTATGGATTCTCATCATGTTGCACTACAGAAACTGACTCAGGAAATGATGATAATTGCTATATTCTGGCTACTGTTATTGCTGCAGAATGCTGTCTGAGGCCCAGTAGTTCGATGCCTTCCAACAGCATCCATGAAACCGTGGCAGGCTAACTTGGTAGTGCACAAATAGGGTCAGACCCTTCACAATCCTTGACAAGTGGTAGATTTAAAGCCATATATCCACACTCTTCTTTAAACTATACATGTGCGTGACATTTAGTCTATCTTAGTACCTATGATCTATTTCACAACAAAAATAAAGGAAAAAAAGAAATAAGACAGTAACCACAACTGGTATCCTAGTATGTCCCAGAGAAAACAATCTCCTGACTACAACTAAGCAAAATATCTAAGAAACAATTTCTCTTTCAGAGAAAGGGAAACCTGAGGCTGACAGAATATATAAGTAAAAGAAACCAAAGAATACCCTGAAATTATTAGATTATTCAAAGAATATTTATCAAGTACTTTTCATGAGCAAGGTGTGATCCTAGACTCTTTGTATAATATATGTCAAATGCAAAACCTTAAGCAAGAAATTTAAGAGTTAATATAAGAGTATAATCTTTTATTTATTTAATTTATTTGGATGTGCCAAGTCTTAGTTATGGCATGCAGGCTCTTCGATCTTCACTGCAACATGCAAACTCTTAGTTGTGGCATGTGGGATCTAGTGGCATGTAGTTCCCTGACCAGGGATCAAACCTGCTTTGGGAGGGTGAAGTCTTAGCCACTGGACCAGCAGGGAGGTCCCCAAGAATATAATCTTATACAGATAAACAGGCACAGAGACAGAATTATAAAGTCTTGGAGAATGAACAATCCTGGAACAAAGAACACTGCCCCTACAGTGTGGCCTAGTGATATGTTTACCTGCTAACTCACCAGAAAACAAGTATATAGGAAACACGTTCAAATCAGAAGTTCCAAGTTCAGATATGGAAAAGATTAACTGAGCTTAAACAGGAAAAGCTTCAGACGTGATGGAAACGTACCTAGTGACTGGTAAGATATCAACAAGTCGGAAAAGAGGGTACGCACTCCAGAGAACCAAGGCTGGGCCAAAAGATCTCCAGCAATCACCAGGAAAAGAATGAGTCCATCAGAAGGCAGAGCGTACAGTCACAGAAGGGACTGACAGGGCTCTCAAAGCTCATGGGTTCCAGGGCTCCTTCCATCGACTTAAAGAGGGACAGACACATGAAACCCACATTTCCCAAACCAGTGACTCAGTCTCAGAGGCCGGACTAGAATCCAAACCTCCTGGCAGCTACAACTCCAAGTGACAGGGCAGTATAGTCCAAATGCCCAGAGTTCAGGCTCTCCACTCTGAATGGTCTGATTTCAGGAATTACAGCAGGACTCATTTCTCAGGTGTTTCGTAAAAACTCAAGGAGGTAACACCTGTAAAACAACGAGCCTGGCCCCGAAGCTAGGCACTCGATAAAGAAAAGCTGCCGTTATTATTAATGTTGCTAGAAACATTAGAGCTACGATTACTAAGACAAGTAAAGTCCTCATTAAAAAGCAGTCGAGTTGGATCGCGTGTAAAGTGTGACTTTCCCGCGGGGAGAGAAGGTTGGAGAGAAAAAGAAAAACGCGAGAGAGGAGCCCGAGCCCGGCCCCGCGCACCTCGCACCTCCCGCTCAGGTTCCGAGTCCTCGTCGGCCTCGCGCTCCCGCTTCACCCGCACCGCCGGGACCACCGGCGCCGGGGCCTCACGCGCGCTCGCCGGCTCGACCTCCCGCTTCACGCGCACCGGGCTGCCTCGGGAGCTCGGCGCCTCGGGCTCCCGATCCCGATCTCGCTCCCGTTTGACACGAGCCGAGCTGCTCCGCGACTCGGACTCGCGCTTCCCGCGGGTGGAACCGCGAGACTCCCGCTTGGACCGGCTGGACATCGCCACTACCGGCCGAGTCGCCGGGCGCAGCCTCCAGACGAGACAGAGCGCGCGGCAAGCAGCCAATCAGAAGCTGCGCTGTTATGGAGGCCAAGGTTCTCTACGAGTCGCCGACCGGGACAAATCACGCCGCAGAGAACTTCGGGGAAGTACTCTGCCTCTGTGGCTTCTTTGCTGCTGCGTGCGCACCGGAGACGAGTAGGCGGGCCTACTGCACTTTACCCTTTTCCGGTTTTTTTTTTTTTTTTTGAGTGTTTATTATTTTTTTTCCCCAAAGAAATCCATGCAAAGGGAAAGACAGAGAGAAAGACATGGCAACCATGTTCTAGCAGCCAAACATAAGAAAATAATTTGGCACAATTTTATTTTCTTTATTGCAAAAGAATCTATACTACCACTAAAATTTGCCCTCCTTACGGAGATGCCATGTGATTTTCGAAAACGTAACGCAGGGTTAGTCTTCTACTTAATGGCTGAAGGAGGTACAGAAGATAAAAAAATAGGGAAAAAGAAAAAGGTGGTTCCCTTTATAGAGGGAGACCACAGGGTGCTGAAGGGCAGCACATATGCTGTGAGCTTGGCAGTCAATGCACCAGGAGGAAAAAGCACAGCACAGAGATTGCCAAGCTGGTGAGAAGCTTCCTTTTCCGGTTTAAAGACGCAAGAACCTTTCACTGACTGCGGAATTTCTGGATAACAGATGCTGTCATTGGACCCCCAGTGTCTTCAAGACACTTTGGGTCCCGAAACCAGAATTGGGAGGTCGTCTCCACAGTCTCCGCTCCTCAAAGATCGACACCCCTGCACAGAACCAGGCGACATTCCCAAGTCACACCCTTTTTGGAGCAACCTGGCGACTCTTAATTCCACATTTAGAGGAATCACAGAAAAATGCGAAAGACGAGCAGAGAGAAACTAGAGAGTGACGTCAATAAAGCTGAAGCTTCAGGGCCTGTGACTTTCATGACCCCTTCCACAACCCTGAACTACTTTACACTTCTATTAATGTGTGACTGATATACAATAAAATGCGCGTTTAAAGTGTTCAGTTCAGTCGCTCAGTCGTGTCCGACTCTGCGACCCCATGAACCGCAGCACGCCAGGCCTCCCTTGTCCATCACCAACTCCCGGAGTCCACCCAAACCCATGCCCATAGAGTCGGTGATGCCATCCAACCATCTCATCCTCTGTCCTCCCATTCTCCTCCTGCCCTCAATCTTTCTCAGTATCAGGGTCTTTTCAAATGAGTCAGCTCTTCACATCAGGTGGCCAAAGTATTTTAGTTTTATCTTCAACATCAGTCCTACCAATGAACACCCAGGGCTGATCTTTAGGATGGACTGGCTGGATCTCCTTGCAGTCCAAGGGACTCTCAAGAGTCTTCTCCAACACCACAGTTCAAAAGCATCAATTCTTCGGTGCTCAGCTTTCTTTATAGTCCAATGCTCACACCCATACATGACCATTGGAAAAACCATAGTCTTGACTAGACGGACCTTTGTTGACAAAGTAATGTCTCTGCTTTTTAATGTACTGTCTAAGTTGGTCATAACTTTCCTTCCAAGGAGTAAGCGTCTTTTAATTTCATGGCGGCAATCACCATCTGCAGGGATTTTGGAGCCCAGAAAAATAAAGTCAGCCACTGTTTCCACTGTTTCCTCATCTAGTTGCCATGAAGTGATGGGACCAGATGCCATGATCTTCATTTTCTGAATGTTGAGCTTTAAGCCAACTTTTTCACTCTCCTCTTTCATTTTCATCAAGAGGCTCTTTAGTTCTTCTACACTTTCTGCCATAAGGGTGGTGTCATTTGCATGTCTGAGGTTATTGATGTTTCTCCCAGCAATCTTGATTCCAGCTTGTGCTTCCTCCAGCCCAGCATTTCTCATGATGTACTCTGCATATAAGTTAAATAAGCAAGGTGACAATATACAGCCTTGACATACTCCTTTTCCTATTTGGAACCAGTCTGTTGTTCCATGTCCAGTTCTAACTGTTGCTTCCTGACCTGCATACAGGTTTCTCAAGAGGCAGGTCAAGTGGTCTGGTATTCCCATCTCTTTCAGATTATTCCACAGTTTATTGTGATCCACACAGTCAAAGGCTTTGGCATAGTCAATAAAGCAGAAATAGATGTTTTTCTGGAATTCTCTTGCTTTTTCGATAATCCAGCAGATGTTGGCAATTTGATGTCTGCTTCCTCTGCCTTTTCTAAAACCAGCTTGAACATCTGGAAGTTCACGGTTCACATATTGTTGAAGCCTGGCTTGGAGAATTTTAAGCATCACTTTACTAGCGTGTGAGGTGAGTGCAATTGTGCAGTACTTTGAGCATTCTTTGGCATTGCCTTTCTTTGGGATTGGAATGAAAACTGACCTTTCCATTCCTATGGCCACTGCTGAGTCTTCCAAATTTGCTGGCATATTGCGTGCAGCACTTTCACAGCATCATCTTTCAGGATTTGAAATAGCTCAACTGGAATTCCATCACCTAGCTTTGTTGTACATTTTGCTGAATATTGATGGAGGTATGTATATACTCTGAAACCACCACCACGATCAAGATAATGAACCTAGGGATTTCTCTGGTTATCCAGTGGCTAAGATTCAGCTTTCAAAGCAGGGGGGCCTGGGTTTGACCCCCTGATCAGGGAACTAGATCCCACATGCTACAATTAAGATACGGTGCAGTCAAATATATTTACTTACTTGTATATATTTAGATGTATAAAATGAATTTAGTCACCATTCACCTAAAGTGTCTTCCTGCCCTGACCATTGATCTGCTTTCTGTTGCTACAGATCAGTGTCACTTTCTAGAGTTTTATATAAACGGAAACACACAGCGAGTCCTCTTTTTAATCCCTGGCCTGTTTTGCTCCGCCTATTTGTTTTGCGATTCATCCACCTTGTTGGGTATATAACAACTCACTTCTTTTGGTTGCTCAGCGGCATTCCACTGTGGATGTACCAGTCTGTCTACTCATGAACTCCTGGTTTTGTCTCTCTCTTTTTCTTTTTTTTTTTTTTTTTGTCTCTCTTTAAAGAGGATTCAAAAATGACACAGGCTCAGATGTCTGAAAGGCCCTGGGGCCACCCACGGGGAAGAGTTAAGACACCGGCCCGGGGGGCGCCGAAATGAACCAGGCGGCGGGAAAGTACGCAAAACTCGGGCGTTGGGCGGGATGGGAGGGGTGTCCGCCGCTTGTGGTCCCTGGAGGGCCGGGGGCTGGGCTGCGCGGCCAGGGCGCCGCTGTGTGCCCAACCCGGGCACTCGCCTCCTCAGGATCTCTTTGGAGGTAGCTGCTGTCAGTGCCCCCACTTACAAATGAGTAAACTGAGGCACGGCTGGGTTCAACAGTCGGCCTATGCCACGGCTGGTGATGGAGTGTCACACATCTCAGCAGAAGAAAAGGGAAGGGAAGGCTCTACAGCGAATTCTGAGGGTGTGATGGGTGCTTTGTGTTTTTCTAGATTTTCTGATATATCAGCAGTAAGCCTAAATCCTGTTTTCCTATTGATAATGTCACAAAAGGAAACCCCGGCAGGAAAAGGAAGTTAAGCTTGCAGTATTTTGGTCCGCTCCGCGCCGCCCCGGCACGCCCCGCCGCCGCCGCCCCGGCCCGCCCCTCCGCCCCTCCGCCCCTCCGCCCCTCCGCCCCTCCGCCCCTCCGCCCCTCCGCCCCTCCGCCCCTCCGCCCCTCCGCCCCTCCGCCCCTCCGCCCCTCCGCCCCTCCGCCCCTCCGCCCCGCCCCGCCGGCGCCTGGAACTCTGCGCGCAGAGAAGCTCGGCCCTGCCCGCCCTTTTCCCGACGTCAGGGCTAGTGGCCGAAAGTCGAACGAGGGGCGGTGCTGAGTTTCCGGGAGGGAGGGTGGCCGTTGGGGGCCTGAGGCAGGGACGGCGGCGGCTCCGCGCACGGGGGTTAAGATGGAAGCGGCGCCGGGTCCCGGGCCGGGACTCTGTTGCAAGCCTGGAGGGCGACTGGACATGAGCCACGGCTTCGTGCACCACATCCGACGGAACCAGCTCGCCCGGTACCGCCCCGCCCCGCGCCACCGCCGCCAGCCCCGGCCTGGCCTGGCCCGGCCGTCCCTGACTCCCGCTCGGCTCCCCGCAGGGACGACTACGACAAGAAGGTGAAGCAGGCGGCCAAGGAGAAGGCGAGGCGGCGGCACACGCCCGCGCCCACTCGGCCCCGAAGGCCCGACCTGCAGGTGTACCTGCCGCGACACCGAGGTGAGGCCGCCCACCCGCCTGCTTCCTCGAGCCCGCGCGCTCTTTTGGCCCCGGCTCAGCCTCAGTGCACTCTTCTTTCCTGTATGGGAAAAAGCTACTTCTTAGCCCCCAAGGCTCAGTTCATCTCGTCCCTTCTTGGAACATCTACCTCGTGTCCCCAGTCGCCGCTAGTGATTCTCCCCGTAGAACAGAGAGGGCTCAAGTTAAGCATCGCTATTACCGGACAAACCTGGGAGTCGGCAAGAAGTAGTCTTTCGCTTTCTCTCCACCACACTATTTTCGTATTCCTGTCACCTAACAGAAAGTAAGTTTGGCACTGCTCTAGGCGACAAGGACATACTTGTGGAATGAAGCCCAAACCAACTTAATGGCCTTTTTTCCTTCATTTCGACCTAGCAATTACAGTAGATAACATATGATGCTAAATTTGTTGATCTTCCCGAAGAGTGCCTTTAGAGGTTGTATACATTTCATTCATTTAGCTGTCAGAGGATCCCATAAGATGGGAACCATTATCATTTGTGTTTCACAGTCTGCAAAACGGATACAAAGAGGTTCAGTAACTTGCCTGAGATCTCAGGGAAGTAAATGGCAGAGCCTTGATTTGAACCCAGGGAGAGCGCAGTCCGCCTCTCTACCACCTTCCAACATTGTAGACCATTGTGCGTTGTGTACTTCCCGTGTGATGTGACTGTGCTGGTGCTAGGGCAGAGGTGTAAAGGTGAATAAAATCCCTCATAGGCGGCACATTTCACACACACATTCTGGGTCCATGAGAAGACCGGTGCTTTTTTTTTCCCCCTAAATTCAGCCTTTTTTCTTTTTTTAATTTTATTTATTTATTTTTGGTTGTGCTGGGTCTTCATTGCTGCCCACGGGCTTTCTGTAGCTCCAGTGAGCAGGGGCTCCTCTCCACTTGCAGTGCTTTGGCTTTTTATTGCGGTAACTTCTCTTGTTTCGGGGCTCAGATTCTAGAACACAGGCTCAGTAGTTGTGTTCTAGAGCACACAGGCTTAGTTGGCCTGAGGCATGTGGACTCTTCCTGGACCAGGGATCGAACCTGTTGTCCCCTGCTTTGGCAGACAGATTCCCTACCACTGGATCACCAGAGAAGTCTGGGGTTTTCTTTACAGTCTGTTTTCCTGTATCATCTCTGGGCAAGGGTTCCAGCAGCCTTCCTTTCTTCTCTCTCATTCTGGTTCATCCCTCCAGATGGCTCTACCCACCCAAGCAACCCAGACTGTGAGGAGTCCGGTGAAAGCAGCAGCAGTGGCAGCTCTGAGCCAGAGCCTCCTGGCCATCAGCTTTTCTGCTTAGAGTATGAGGCGGACAGCGGAGACGTCACCTCAGTTATCGTGTATCAGGTACGCCTGGTGGAAACAGCTGCAGCCTGAGGGTCCTGGGCCGTGGTGGAAATCACTGTGAGACCCGGAGCCACTGTTTTCCTCAGGGACTGGTGGGCAGTATCTGTCCCACATGGGAGCACAGACTGCTAGGTGATGCTTTTGAGCACAAGCCACTCCCATCACAGTGATTCTCAGCGGGCGATGGGAAGGGCACATGGCCCACAGTCGAGAATCATTATTAAGGGGACACCTGGGCAATGACAGGCACTGGCAAGAAGTTGTGAGTCCCACGGAGATCTGTGAGAGTGTTGCCTAGGGACAGGGCAGGCCACCTTTCCAGAAGAGGCCGGGCCCTGAGCTTCCTGACTCTTCCTCCACGTAGGATGATGATCCAGGAAGGGTGAGCGAGGAGGTGTCAGCCCACACGCCTCTGGAGCCACTCATGCGAGAGGCCCTCAAGTTGCGCATCCAGGAGGAGATTGCAAAGCGCCAGAGCCGACACTGAACAGACTGGAGTCACTGCCCAGGGAGCCATCCCTAGTTCGGGGGTGCCGGGACCAGTCTGAGCTGATCTCAAGACGCCCTTGTACCCCCACCAAAGCTGCCACATCCACAGGAAAAGGGTGTCACAGGGACTGGGTCTGGCCATCTCCCTTGTAGCCATTTTTTCTTATATGTTGGCCCATTTTACCAGCCTAATATTCTGAAAATTTTTGAGAATTTTGTTTGGTTAGCTTGGTTCTGTGGAAGCAAAAACTCTGGGGAGAGTTGAGGTTTATGAAACCGTGTGCCAAAGTGCTGCTTTCTCACCAAGGTCATGTCCCCCAGGGCACCTGGCCGCTGCTGCTCCACCCAGCTCCTTGAGCCCTGTTTGCTATTTTATGGTTCCTTACAATTCCGTGCCTTCTGCTCACTTCCATGTCTGCATTTTCTAGATCTTCTTTTCTGGCGTTTCTTTGTTCTCTTCTTTCATTCATCTTTTTGTCTCCCAATGCATCAGTCACAATCCCCCCCACCTCCCACCTTTAGCTGCTAAGGATTTTGGATGTGGGGGTTCTGGCCTCTGCCTTTCTGGCAAGCTCTCCCAGTACTTCTGATACCAGTCAAGGGAGACTTTCTTTGATGCCTACTTGCAAGCATGTCTCCCTCCCCTTACGTGGCTTTTGCAGGTTTCTCCCATGCTCCATCACTTCGCCCAGTCTCAAAAGATGATGCCAGAACTCAACTGTGAGGTTTTCTTGCCCCAAAACCTGCCTGGGCTAGGACTACATAATTCCAGCTTCCCACCTGATCCCTGGCTGTGAACAAACCATCTGTGCTCAGGCTAAAGGAGAACTCTCAAAACAAGCCAGAAACTGTGTTTCCAAATGTGATTTAGCAGTCTTGAGTGTACGTACAAAGGCAAATTCAACATGAACAATTATTGCCTGTTTGGAGCCCTGGGGTGCAGACAATAAAGAATCCACCTGCAATGCAGGAGACCCAGATTCAATTCCCTGGGTCAGGAAGATCCCCTGGAGAAGGGAATGGCAACCCACTCCAGTATTCTTGCCTGGAGAATTCCACGGACAGAGGAACCTGGCGGGTTACAGTCCATGGGGTCGTAAAAGAGTCAGACACGACTTGGCAACTAACAGTTTCTCTTTCACTTGGAGCCCTAGTTGGGAAAAGGAGGGGAGCCTGTAAAGTCTCCTGGAGGGAGCTAAGCAAGCCTCTTTCATCTTCCCTTCCCCTGCTCTTTCTCCCGTCCTACCTCCCAAGAGTATGTAAAACTCCTAAGAGACCTTAATACTAAAGATCCCGGGAATATCACTGCTTTCACTGAAGTGAACATTCTTCCTAATGAGGGTTGGACTAAGGTCTGAGAAATCCACCAGCCGTCCCGTACACGATGGTACCAAGCCTCTGTGGTTTTCCAGCAAATGGGCCTAACCTCAGTGACTTGAAGTATGGGATTTAAGGGAGCCCATGAGCACTGGGACTTCTTCAGACCAACACTCCCCCTGCCCCAGAGGTTTCACCTCAGGGTCTCAAGATCAGTCTGGCCGGTCCCTCTCAGCAACTTTGCTCATAAAGGACATCTAAGGGCACTTTTGCTTTGTGCCCTACAGCCCTGAAAATCTACCAGCTCAGAAATGGGGCAAGGCAGCTACTTCAACTACATCATTAAAATGCAGCAAGTCACAGCTCTCTGGGAAGGTGAGTGAGGTGGATAAATTAGAAGGGCCTGGTTGTGAAGGCAGACAAGGACCAGCAGATCCTGACTCCCAGAGCTGCCCAAAGTCAAATGCCTTCAACTTTCCAGTGCTGGGCTCAGTTCTCTTCCAGTGGAACAAGTCTGCCCTCATTCGGCCAGGCTAGAAGTGCCTTTTAACTCTTAAGGTACCCTCCAGAGCCGCCCAGGTCGAGGAGACTGTGCCATACTCTGTCCCCTGTCTTCCTGCAGCTCAGAGCACCAGGCATTTTAGTCTTACAGCTCTTCAGCTGATCTGCTGACTTGGACATAGGATTTCACCGAAACTCTTAGGCTTCCTAGTCTGGAAATACTTTTTTGGGTTTGTCTTCTCATAGCTGGATGGCCTATTTTCCTGGATTTATTATAGAATTTAGAAACAAGTCCATGGGGGCATGACCCCTGAGAGTTTAGCCTTCAGCCCTGTTTTGTGAGACTCATGTACCAATTCTGTCCTCCTGTGTGTTGATCGCATAATCCTCACACTCTCAGGTAAGAGACTGATGGGAACATCTCATGTGTAAACTTGTTGAGGTGCTTTGCTGATCGAGTGCATATAAAATATCTTCCCAAGAAAGCATTCTAATTCTTAGCTAGTTTACGCTGCACAACTCTAGGAAGCACTAAGCCTGGTACTTAAATGAGAGGTTGTACTTCAGGCCAGGCCTAGTGGTTTTGATGCTGCCGTGGCTCCAGGTGTGTCCGGAATGCTTCTCTACTAACAGCTCTCAGCCCATTGACAGCCTTGGAGCTCCGCTCATTGCTTCTTACCCCTCGCTGCAGTCCAAGATGGTGTCCTGCTCTCCAGTATATTTACTGGACTTGCCTCCTGATGTCTTTTCAGCCATCTTCAGTTGTTGGTGCCTTGCCCTCAGGAGCAGTTTCCAGGGCATTTCCCAGAGGCCCTCGAGCTGTCTCAAAGAGGACTGTCCCTGCTGTTTCGTGCATTGGCTACAGCATTAGACTAGCTTTCTGGCAGACTACTTCAGGATCAGCACTTATTTGACTAGATATAGTCTCAGCTGCCTGGAAAAAAAAAAGTCTGGGAGCCTAATAAGCATATTTCACATTCATCCAAAATGAAGCATTCTTCATTTACTGAGGCTAAGCCTTGGATGTTAAGGCATTGTGTGTCCCGGGCCACAGTGGGTGATGTTACTAATAGAAGGAAGCTGGGTTTGCAGGGGTTTGGGGCTGTGTGAGAGTAAACACTAAAACACTTGAGTTCCAGCCAGCTGGCAAGGATGAAAGTCTTTGAAGAATGTAATACAAGATGGGAAAAGGAGAACGTAAAGCTTTTTGTCCTGAATGAGAGTAGGAAACCAGCCAGTAGGACCAGCGTGGGCAATAAGAAATGCTTCTCTCTCTGGACAAGCCTCTGAAAAGGGACATTCCATCTCCACTGGTCCACTCCCAGGGGCACTGCCGTGCAGAGATTAGCCCACGAAACTGGAAGAAACCCTTTGGAGTGGTGGGTATCCAGCTTACTGTGCATGTGGCACCGTCTGTTGGTGGTAAGGTAGGGCCCCCAACTGGTTCACACATGTAAATGCAGCCTTTTGCAGACAGAAGAGTAAGGACAGGTGGCTTTCCTACCTCGGAGCCTTCTTTGGGGAGGAACATCAAGGAAATGTTGACAGTTATCTGAAACATTTTAAGTTCCCTCATTGAATTCCTGTCCTGCCCCTGAGGAATCATATGACCAAGAAACCACAGGCACCCACCCCAAATTTCCCCAGGAGGTGGAGTGATGCCAGAAGGGAAGAGAGGGAATGGCCCCTCTGCCTTCCCAGGGCCACCAGAATGAGGAACTGGTTGTATAACATATGAGAAGCCATACTTTCTTCTGTTTTCTCATTCCCAATGTTCCTGCTGTATGGATGAATAAAATGACATGTTGCAAATTTATTTGAAAATCCTGGAAGGAAGGTACTTTGCAAATACAGCATTCTTTTTAACCAATAAACGTACTATTTTTATAAGCACTGTTTTTGCCAAGAGTTGTGAAATCACTTGTGTACTTAGGGAAGAGAAGACTACGTGCTCTCCTAAAGTCATTCAGCACAGAATCAGCACTGAAAATCTGATCTCTTGTTCTGCCTGACTATTTTAAGGACTGTCCTGGTTGGAGCATAACAAGTAGATTCACATGGCATTGGAGCTGGAAGGGCCTTTTAAAGACATCTGGTCCTACTTTCTACTGATACGCAACTCATCCCTATCAGCATCCGTTGAAGAGCCCTTCTGTCTCGGGCTAATTCTCTGTTCTAGGGACTACTTAGATTGTTGTATTAAGTCAAAATCTGCCTCCTTGTCAAGGCTCTGGACTGCTTGCCTAACCCCCACTTTAGGATAGAACAGACAGTTTAGAACCTGAGTAGTCCTCCTGGGCCTTCTCCACAATCATGGCTAAAAAGGAACACAAACCAACTCAACAGGAGATAGTAAGTGTTGATTAAGAATTGCTAAGCTTCAAGGCTATGGTTTTTCCAGTGGTCATGTATGGATGTGAGAGTTGGACTGTGAAGAAAGCTGAGTGCCAAAAAATTGATGCTTTTGACCTGTGGTGTTGGAGAAGACTTGAGAGTCCCCGGGACTGCAAGGAGACCCAACCAGTCTATCCTAAAGGAAATCAGTCCTGGGTGTTCATTGGAAGGACTGATGCTGAAGCTGGAACTCCAATACTTTGGCCACCTCATGCGAAGAGTTGACTCATTGGAAAAGACCCTGATGCTGGGAGGGATTGGGGGCAGGAGGAGAAGGGGACGACAGAGGATGAGATAGCTGGATGGCATCACCGACTCGATGGGCATGAGTTTGAGTAAACTCCGGGAGTTGGTGATGGACAGGGAGGCCTGGCGTGCTGCGATTCATGGGGTTGCAAAGAGTCAGACACGACTGAGCGACTGAACTGAACTGAACTGAACTGAAGCTTCCAAAGAGGTAGGAAATGCTAAGGGCTCACAGCACTATTTGGCAGATAAGAAAAATTGCCTGCTCCCAGGGGAACACCCCTGGGCAAGAAGATGGTGATCTCGATAAATTAGACAGAGGCACTCCTTTGTCCTGGGGCACAAAGCCTGGCCAGCAGAAGGCGGACTGGTTTTATACCTCCCTGGTTCTTCAGCCAGGTGTTCTTGTACAGGGTCGCTCTGCACTGCCATGGTTCTTGACCCAGTTTTAACTACTTACCCTGATGCAGTTTGGAAGAGGGTCCTCCAACAGGCTTCCTGGTTCCATTTTTACCTTCCACTAGGTTCAGAAAGGTTTCTCCTTCCTCAAGCCATTGTCCAATTAGTGTATCTACTCCATTTCCCCCACAGTCCAAGGCCATTTCTGACTATTACCTTTACGTCACCAGTCCTGCTGAATTTAAGCTCCCTGGTTCCTGGCAGCATGGGCACAATGCTCCTTTCAGTAAAGGTCTGTGGGCCCCGGTGTTGCCTCATACGGACTCCAACAGACACTGGACTCCCAGTTTGAATACTTTCCTGCCCTTTTAATCATAAAAACAATGTCCAGGAGGGCACCCTTGGCCTTAAAGTGTGGATGGAGTGTCACCTGCCCTATAGTAAACAAAGGATGTGGCCATCAAGGCAGTAGCCACTGTAGCCACCCCCAACTGCACCCTGAGGGGACTCAAGGTGGAGAAAAGCAGGCTATTAGCCCCAGATAGTTGAGGTGCATATCAAAGGAATGCTTTCAGTGAGCCCAGACTCTTGTATCTTCCCCAAGAAAAACACTAAACTCATTACGTCTGGTTACTGGTCTTTAATTAACAGTAAAGCTTTTGATATTCCAGCTACCTGCTTTTTGTAAAAACTCCTTTATAGCCTGACTGCTCCCTTGCCTCTTTGGAGCAGTCCCACAGAGCTATCTCAGAGGCTGCCTCCCGGGTTGGAATCCTTAGAAAGTTTGCCAAATAAAACACAATTCTCAACTTTTGGGTTATGCTTTTTTTTTTTTCCCCAGTCAACATAAGGTTTGGTGAAGCTGTTGGGTAATTTATCCTCACACTATCCTGTTTGCTTTTTCCCAGATTGCTCTGGGTCTCCAGCCTTCCTCTCCTCTTTTCCCTCCCAACCCCTGGCCATGGGGGTGTCCTTAGAATGGATATTGTTTCAAGCCAGTGCTCAGCAGTCAGGAACCCTATTTTGGACGCTGACTTCTGGACCGTACCCTGTGTACAAGTACCCTTGAAAATAAAATGTATCTGATGAAAGTAGCTCTCCTCCAGACTTTGCTGAGTTCGAGGAAAGCAGAAGCCAAATAATGCAGGGCGCTTGAATTTCTTAAGGAACAGCCAGAACTTTGTGCCCTCTGCCCTGCAGACCGGCCTCGCCTTGGACAGAGGCAGGCACGGGGCGCCACACTGAGGGAGGCTGTCCGAAGTCCCCGTCGGCCAGTCCAGGTTGCAAAATGTGCCCGGCGGCGGCGAAGGAAGGCATCCTTTAGCCACGTGTGCAATGACAATCACAGGTGCAGCTGGAAGGAGGCGCAGACCCCGGAGCTTCCCGCCTCCCGAAGCTTCCACCACAGGAGAAGGGAAGACGGGGTTATCTTCTTGGTATCTCCGCAACAGATCCTCCTCGGCTGGGGTCCCACGCCGCCGCCCACAGAGCCCAGGTTCCCCCCCAAGTCGGGGCACCGCCCACCGTTCCAGCATGACGCGGGCGCGGGGACTCGGGAACTGTAGTTCCCGGCTCGGTTTGCGGCGCCGGGGCGGGGGCGGTGCGGACTCCAAGTCCCGGCGGGCGGCGCGGCTCGGCCCGGGGCGCTGGGGGTGGGGCCTCCGGGCCCTTTAAACCATTCAGGGTCGCTCCGAGGGCCGCAGCCGGGGACGGCGCCACGCGGGGGCCGAGCAGGAGGCGGCGGCGGGGCGCTCCGGGGAGGTGCGTACGGGGCCCCTTCCTCCCTCAAACCTCCAGAGACCACCTGCGAAGACGCAGGTGCTGGGGGCTGCGGGCGCCCAGGCGGGCGGGCGGGGGACCGGGCTGGGCTTACCGCGTGAACCCGCCCCTTTCCCGCGGCGCCGGCGCTCAGGTAGCTGCCTGCGCCCCGCTGATTCTCCGCCCATCCCCGGACCCCCTCGCAGGCTTTTCTTGGCGTGACCCGCTCCGGGTTGTCCTGACTCCAGCCCCTCTCCCAGCCCGGGACCCTCAGGCCAGGGAGGGTGGCTCCCTTTCCAGAGCTTAGGGCCCCGCGGCGTCTGAACATCAGGCTGGAAGGCGGAGGACCCCCGGTGAATGACGGAGGGTCCCCGGTGGATGCCGGAGGGTGTCCACGTTGTGGTGGAGGCTCAGCCCCAAGCGTGGGCGCTCAGAGCCGCAGAGGGAGCCCTGCATCTGGTGCTGACCACCTTTCTCTCCCCAGCACCGGCTTTGGCTAGTCACTAGACCCTGGACTTTGACCTGTCTCTCTCCACCAGGCCCGGGCAGCTGATGGTTTTGACGAAGTTTCTTAAGGTAGCCGGCCCACCCCCTCTTCTCCTGCTACCTCTTGTCCTCCCCCCCCCCAATCACCACCACCCTGGCTTCCCTCCCTCATGACCGCCTGGATCCTCCTTCCTGTCAGCCTGTCAGCATTCTCCATCACTGGCCTATGGACTGTGTGAGTACGGAGGGGGATGGGGGGTAGGCAACGAGGGAACAAAATGTGAGGGACAGGGCCCAACCAGGACCCAACAGGAGCCTGATGGTACACAGAAAGCCCCCTTGTCCTGTGGCAGGCTCCAAGGTGGCACCCAGGGTCACTCTGGCTGTCTCCAGAGCCTGGCCTGGTGCCTGGGCCCACAGCCCCTTGGGACAAGCTGGCACCACTGCTGTCCAGCGGGGTAATGCAGACAGACACATTTCTAGCCAGGGCAACTTCCGGAAGTCCTCTAGTTTGGGACCAGGCTGTGGGTTCTAGAGTAGCAGGCCACCCCAACTCAAGTCCCCAGAGAGGAGAGTGAGACTGGATGAAGGAAGAGTCGGTGGGGGAAGGCTGGGCGCATCGTGGGGCAGGGTGACAGTTGTGCTCCCGCAGGTATGCCATGGCTGTGATGAACCACCACGTGTGCCCCGTGGAGAACTGGTATGGCGCACTCTGCAGACAGCCTCACTCTAAAGCTCCCTTCATCTCTGTTCCCTCTTGGGCCGGGGCTGCCTCAAGCCAGATGGAGACACTGGGCCTCACTGCTCTTCTCTGACATTGGCAGCGCCTGCCCCCTCCCCAGGCATGGCTTTGTGCCCACCTACCTGCTTCCCACCATCATTTGCCCCTTTGGCTTCTGTCTCAGGGGTCCTGGGAAGTGGGCTTTTCTGCCCCTGCCAAGGGAGGTCTGGGAGGGTGTCTCTGAGAGACCTGAGGGAACCCCTTCCCCCCAGGCTATGCTCTGTCCTACCTGCCAGGTCTTACAACGAATCCTGCTCTCCTGACCCCATGGAGCAAGGGGGCCCCAAGATCTGCTGCACCCTGGATGACATCCCCCTCATCAGGTGAGGCCTAGAAACCTGGGAGGTGACGGAGACCCAAGGCCCAGCTAGACTCCCAGCCAAGTGCCTCAAGCCAAGGCATATCCCTGGGTCCCAGAAATAGTAATTCCATTAAGAGCACACATGACGATACTGCTTACCAATTACTATGAGCCAGGCCCTGCACTGAATCCTTTACATGTCTAAGATCATTTCACCTTCCCAGCATTGAGGCAGCTATTGTTTTCATGACTTTATAGGCAAGGAAACTGAGACTGCACTATGTCACCCATCCAGATCCCTCAGCTAGTGAGTGGAGGCACCTATATTTAGGTTCCAGCTTTCTGCCCAGCCTAAGCCCTGGCATAAGGGAAATCAGACCCACTGTGGACCTTGACAGTCTCAGGGATCCCAGGGAGCCGTGGGGTCCACTAGGCAATCCTGGGCTCTCCCAACTCCAGCAAACACCCAGCACTCTGCCTTAGGGGGAGGTGTGGTCAGCCTGGGGCCACTTGTTTGTAAGGGACACTGGCCTTTATCCATCAGGGTCTGGCCTACAAAGGAACAGGTGCACATAAGGCTAGAAAGAGCAAGTGGGCCAGGAGGGGGGCTTTCCAGTGGTTCTGCCCCTCTCACTCTGTCCCCACCCCCTCCTCTCAGCAAGTGTGGCTTGTACCCCCCTGAGAGCTGCCTCTTCAGCCTCATTGGCAACCTGGGTGCTTTCATGGGTGAGTTGTGCCCTCGGCGCCCCACTACCACCCCACCCAATCCAGCCTACCCTCACCTCCACTCCCCAGGAAGCCCTGGCTTTGTGCAGCCCACTGCACCAAGGGCTAAGGCCAGTGGGGCCACTTCACTTCCATTCCATGAAGGCCCAAGGCTGACTCCCACACAACCACCCTGGTATAGTACAACCCCTGCCTGTCCATTCCCTTCCGGCTCTCAAGAGCATCTGGGGAAAGCTAGCTGGGCTGGGTCAGGGCCAGAGAAGGCGCCAGAGCCAGCCCCCGCTGTGCTCTCCTCCCCCAGTGGCCCTGATCTGCTTCCTGCGCTATGGGCAGCTCCTGGAGCAGAGCCGTCATTCCTGGGTCAACACCACGACGCTCATCACAGGCTGCACCAATGCTGCAGGTCTGGTGGTGGTGGGCAACTTCCAGGTACGCCCGCCTACCGGCCTTTCAGCTTCCCCTAGAGGAACAGCAAGGTGGGGCAGGGAGGGGGTGAGGTGGGGGTTGGGGGATGAAGGGGTGGAGGGGAGGGGCTGATCTGTGCTCGCTCTCTGGGCCCAGGTGGACCACGCTAAGTCTCTGCACTATGTCGGAACTGGTGTGGCCTTCACTGCTGGCCTGCTTTTCGTTTGCCTGCACTGTGCCCTCTCCTACCACGGGGCCAAGGCCCCTCAGGACCTGGCCGTGGCCTACCTGCGGATTGTGCTGGCAACCATCGCCTTTATCACTCTGATCCTCAGTATCCTTCCAGGATGGGGTGGCCAGGAACTCCTCTTGTAGCTCAGGCCCTCTACCACCCAAGATGCTGGGGGAGCGGGGAGAACAAACACCCCTGCCCAGTCTGGTCTTCTGCCCCCTACTCCTGGGAGATGAGACCTGGTCCTCTGCCCCAGCCTATATCCAGGAAGGCAGGAAGGGTGTCACCAGGCTCCCGCACCTCCTCCCTGATGTTTCCTTAGCCCCTTCCCAGCTGGGGTCTTCTTCATCCATGAGAGCTCTCAGCTGCAGCATGGGGCAGCCCTGTGTGAGTGGGTGTTCGTCATTGACATCCTCGTCTTCTACGGGACCTTCAGCTACGAGTTTGGGGCGGTCTCCTCAGACACACTGGTGGCCGCACTGCAGCCCACCCCCAGCCGGGCCTGCAAGTCCTCTGGGAGCAGCAGCACCTCCACCCACCTCAACTGTAGCCCTGAGAGCGTCGCCATGATCTGAGGTCTGGGGAGGGTGGCTGGCCCTGCCTCCGCAGCTCCCCGCGTCTCCTCTGCATTTCTTTTGTACCAAAAAAACCCGATTTTGCGAAAAGTATTCTGTTGGGACACAGGCTGCCTCACTCCTGGAGGAGGGGCCATCCCACACCTGTGCCATAGAGGAGTGGGCCTCTTGGCAGGCTGCCCAAGCCACACACAGCCCGCTCCCCACACCGCAGTGTTGTCTTTATGTTTTAAAGGTCACGTGTCATTCACCCAGCCAGCCCTTCAGGTGCCTTCTACTCCCTCCCTCAGTGCCAAGGCTGGACCACTGGGATTTCCTGCTGCAGGAATTGGGGGCTGGGAACAGCAAGAGGGCTACCAGTCTCAGGGGTGGGGGTGAGCACTCCTTAGTCTATGGGAAGGCCCCCTATGGGCCCACTGAGCTGCACTGGGATTTCTTCACTCTGCCCCTTTCTTTAGGGCAAATAACACAGCAGAACCACGTGGGTATTTTAGTATTTTTTTTATATATATATATCTATTAAAAGAATTCTAATTTGCATGTTTGTAGTCTGTCCTGAAGAAGAGGGCCTTATGCAGAACAGCTTCACCTGGACAAAGGATGGGAGAAAGCCCCTGCCCACAGGGAGGGTCCTGAGTGCCCATGGAGAGCAGAGCTGCCAAGAACAAAGGATGCCAAGTGCTATCCAAGTACCCTTGAAGGGCTTGAAGCCCTTTCTGGGCCTCTAAAACAGTCTGAAGAGCTGACCTGATTATTTCACACTTCCTACCCTGCTCAGGGGCTCCCCTGGTGGTTCAGATGATAAAGAATCTGCCTGCAATGCAGGAGACCCCAGTTGTATCCCCAGGCTGGAAAGATCCCTGGAGAAGGGAATGTCTCACCCACTCCAGTATTCTTGTCTAGAGAATTCATGGACAGAGGAGCCTGGTGGGCTATAGTCCATGGTGTTGCAGAGTCAGATACAACTGAGCAACTAACACTTTCACTCTTTTTCACCCTGCTCAATTGTCTGGCTTGAAGACTGATTCCATACTAAGGGATATGACAAAGGACAGGGTACAGAGAATAACTTGAAAATGTTAGAAGCAATCTGCAATGAAGCTAAAGAAAGCCCTGGGGACTCTAACACTGACTAAAGATTGCAGTTGGGAGGAAGAAATGTGGGGTAGTTTTTGGTTACCATTTTTAAGTCACTACTAGGTGCCCTGCCTGACACATGTTGTTTTCCAACCACAGACATGTAGGCCCAGGCTGTGGCTGGTCTGGTAGCCAGGTTCTTGACCTGGGCCCTATTACCCTTGGCCCAGCAGGCTTGGTAGGGAGGGATACCCAGCCTGGGACCTTCTACGGTTCAAGACCCCATTCCAGTAGAGACCCAGTGGAGGGCACAGAGCCCCTGCCCATGCCTGAGAGCAATGCAGCAGCAGGATGAGTGAAGAAACCTTTAATGAGAATTCAAGATGCAAGAGGAACATGTTGCAGAGGACCAGTGTCCAGCCCTAGCCACCTCATGTGTACATGGCTCCGTGGAGGTTCTCGAGGCGGTGCTTCTGCTGCTGCTTGCGAGCCTGAAGCAAAGAGTGCACACTGGTCGGGGGCCATCCCCAAAGGCCTGTGGGTGAAGGGATAGGGCAGCCATCGTGGGGCTGGCTCACTGTTTTCAGGCCCCTAGCATTTTGGCAGGAACATTGCCAAGGCCCTTGCCCCTCACCACAGTCACTGGGAAGGTGGCCAGAGTCATGAACTGTGAGCCTACTCAGGCTTCCTAAGGTGGGGAATGAGAGCATCAGGAACAGGGACTCAGGGAGCCCTGTGACCACCCCCTCCACTTGCCCAGCCCCCTACCTTATCTCGCTTGTGCTCCTCATAAGTGTCATCATCAGTGGGCAGCTCATGGCGGCACAGAGGGCAGGAATTGGTCTGGGAAAAGCAGTGCAGTGTACCAGCCCATCTGGTTTTCATAAGCGCAAAACAACCATCCCCAGCTCCCAATTCCCTACCCTTACCCCTCTCCCATCTCTGATCCCACACCCCACCCCAAAGGTCCATCAATAGAAAGAGGCTTGAGGACTAGGCCCAAGGCAGGGTGAGGGCTGGGAGAAAGGAAACAGTACCTTGCTCAGCCAGGGCAGAATGCAGTTGGAATGGAAGAGATGATGGCAAGGCATCTCAATGGCGGTCTCCTCCTCCTCAAATTCCAAAAGACACACGGGGCACTTGAGCTCTTGAGGAGGGAGTGCTAATCAGGAGAGCTGCCACAGGCCCTACCTCCCAGCTCCCACTCCTGAAGGACACACTTGCCCCAGCCTGACCTGGAAAACTGAAGGGCCAGACTGTAATCTGGCTTCCAGAGTTGGTCAGTCTGGCAGACATGCCCCAAAGAATTAATGGAAAGACTTAGTGTTCTCACCAGCCTGAGAGCCCCTGATGACTGTCCTGGGAAGGTTCTCAACTGCAGTCTTGGCAGCGGGTGGAGGCAGGTGGTGGTCCCAATCTACTACCAACCCCAAGTCTTCAAAGTCCATCCTATTGAAAAGGGACCTGGGAAGAAGGATGCAAGGTCAGAACCAAAGAATCTTTGCCCCCACAATCCACTACACATTAACAGACAAATACTCTGCCCGACAAGTCATACTAATAGCTACCCCTCAGTAGAGCTCACTAGACAAAAAGCACCGTGTGAAATGGCTTACAGCAGCTATCAGACAACCCCAGGCCATCAGACACCCCAAGCATGCAGGCTATTTATTCCAGTTTTACACAAGAGACAACTTAGAGAAATTACTCGGGCCACTCAGGAATGACCCGATAAAGCCAGATTCCAAGTGGCAGTGTGGCTTCCGTGCTTGAAGTGCCTAACAGATATACCTACTCCAGTCCGGACACCCCCTCTTCCACACTCCAGATCGCTTTTTCCAGAATTCCCTTGCTCTGGCCCGTCCACAGATGACCCAAATTATGGACTTCCTCCCGAATCTCACTGCGGAATTAACTGTGCATATTATTTATCCGTTTTACCCAGAAACTGCTGCCCCAGATAATCCGTGTTCTCCAGCCAGCCTTAGCCCAGACACCTGCTGTGTGGGCCCTACCTTCCAGCCCCGCACACCCACCTTGCAAGCTCCAGCAGCATGTTTGTTCGGGGATCCCGTTCGCGATCCAACGGCTCGCAGTCGTGTTCATCGAAATAGGACGCCATGGCAGCCGGGCTGTCTGACACAGTCCTCAGTTCCGGCCGGACCTCAGTCTTCTGGCGCTGGCCAATAAGCTAGCGAGTTGAGGGAGGGCGACCAATCAGGGTCCCCGAAAGGCGGGCACAGTGGCTTTTTCACCACATAGGAAGAGGAAGTATTCATTTTGTCACCTCTCATTGGCTCGAATAAGTCAGGTGACCAAGGGCTAAAGCCAATGGCAGGGACCGAGGTGGGTCAGAAAACGGTCCTCAAAAAAAAAAAAAAGAAAGAAAGAAAGAAAATGGTCCTCTTGGAGACCCTGTCTAGGGTAGGTTTCTGGGAGACACGAGGGGATCGCATAATCTTGAGAAGCCAAATGTTTGGGCTATAGGGGTCCTCTATCCGCTCTGCGGCTCAGAGGGTCTCGGCAGGTCAGATCTTACAGGCCTCTCAGAGAGAGGGAGGCGCTGACTCAGGGGTAAGGGTTCTGCGAGCCTAGAGAAGCCTGGAGTCGGGGCTTCCCGCGGCTCTGCCGCATCCTCGCCGGGCACTTCAGCACCCGCTGCACTCTGGTCGGTTCAGGACTAGACACTTGACGCTACCTTGACTCCCTTAAAACAAACAAAACTTTCCTATTCAGTTCTGCTGTGTTAGGCACAATAATAAAAGGTGGGGTAAACTCCCCCGCCCGAGTAGAGGTCTACCAGCTCAGGGAACTATCTATCTGTGTGATCTTTTAGCCCATTGCTCAGCTTCTGTAAAATTAGTGGCTTGAATTTAATAAGTAGTTTGCATCCCTGGCACCCATGAATCTCTTGGAGGAGGAAAGGAGAGGTTGCAGCTTTAGGGGAAAAAACAACAACAAAACTCCACATCTGATGTTTAGTCTCAAAGATCAAATTTAACTGATCTAGGCCTGGGGTGTGTGTGTGTGTGTGTACTAAATGATTTGGCTCTGTGTGTGTGTGTGCACTAAATGATTTGGCTGCTAGCTAGCATTCGCCTGGGTGGGTGGGTGGGTGGGTGGGTGTGTGTGTACTAAATGATTTGGCTCTGTGTGTGTGTGTGTACTAAATGATTTGATTGCTATCATTTATTTGGCAACTAGAACCATTACATTTATATTGTACACAGGGTATAAATATAAATACTCCTCACAATTATCCAGGAGCTAGTATCATTATAGTCAAAGCTATGGTTTTTCCAGTAGTCATGTATGGCTATGAGAGCTGGACCATAAAGAAGGTTGAGTGCCAAAGAACTGATGCCTTTGAATTGTAGTGCTGGAGAAGACTCTTGAGAGTCCCGTGGACTGCAAGGAGATCAAACCGGTCAGTTCTAAAGTAAATCAACACTGAATATTCATTGGAAGTACTGTTGCTGAAGCTCCAATACTTTGGCCTCCTGATTCAAAGAGCTGACTCATTGGAAAAGACTGATGCTGGGAAAGATTGAAGGCAGGAGGAGGAGAATAGGGTGGCAGAGGACGAGATGGTTACACAGCATTACCGACTCAGTGAACATGTATTTGGGCAAACACTGGGAGATAGTGGAGGATTTCGGGGCCTGGCATGCTGTAGTCCATGGGGTCGCAAAGAGTCGTATACTACTTAGTGACTGAACAACAAGAAGTATCATTATTGCTTTTACATATGTAAAAACCCAAGTCCAATTCCACAGGCCCTCTAAGCAGTGTTGCAGACCTAAGTGCAGTACTCGGTGCTTCCCTCCATCTTCCCCAGGAAAGGCTGATGGTGGTGAGCCTAGCCGAAGTAACCTGCTCTGTGAAGGTACAGCTCCACAAAACTGGAGGGTTTGTTCTTGTTTCTTTATCAGTAGCCCTCACTCCCCCTAACAAGGAACTGCTTCTGTCACACACTTCACCCTGAATTCCTCTTCCTACCTACACTTGAGTTTGAGATGCAATTAAGTAGCTCAAGCGGTGGCTGCCCTGCTTCCCAGGTTTTCATAGGACCTTTCCTTCTTACTTGGCCTTTACCCAATGCTCTTTCCTGGTGTCCTGAAGGCACTGCCTCCCTGGCCCTGTGCAGTCCTAGAGCTTTGAAAAGCCCGAATTCTTTCCCACAGGGCAAACTCCAGGCCATCCTTTGTGACTCTGCACCTTACAGCATCACATAGAAAAAAGCTCTTCCCTTTTCCTGCCACCTACTACATCTGTATGGGCTTTCCAGTGGTAAAGAATCCGCCTGCCAATGTAGGAGATGCAGGGGACTTCAGTTCAATCCCTGGGTTGGGAAAAGATCCCCTGGTGTAGGAAATGGCAACCCACTCCAGTATTCTTTCAGGGAAAAATCCCATGGACCAAAAAGCCTGGCTAGAGTCCATGAGGTAGCAAAGAGTCACACACAACTACACAACTGAAAATATACGCATGCTGCATCTGTAATCTGGTGTAGAGCCTGAGGAAGAACTTGGGGGCAGAAACTAGAGAGGAGGTACCCAAGGGGGAAGAGCCTCTCTGAAGGTGAGAGCCTTGTGAGATAAAGATCACGGGAGTGCCTTCCTCTTTGTCACCCTATGGGTCTTCTGAACAACCCCAAACTCAGAAGAATAACAGATTTCATCCTCAGGGAGACAGGGCACCAGCTGAAGGTTCTGGTTTGGGGGCTATTGTGTCTTTATACCTGCACCCTAGAGGGATCTGTCTGTAAGACTGGATCATGGGGAAGAAAGAAGAAGATGCCACCTCCCAGGGCTGGAGTCCTTTGGGTCTTTCTCTTTCCTAAGCAGCCATGAGGGTGGAGGCAGAGCAGGATGAACCAATCTGAGGATCTTCAAACACACACATTAAGTCGCTTCAGTCATGTCCGACTCTGTGACCCCATGGACTGTAGCCCACCAGGCTCCTCTGTCCATGAGATTCTCCAGGCAAGAATACTGGAATGAGTTGCTGTGCCCTCCTCCAGGGACTCTTCCCAACCCTGGGATCAAACCCACATCTCTTTTGTCTCCTGCATTGGCAGGCGGGCTCTTTACCACACCACCTAGGAAGCCCTCAAACACACACACACATACACCAGTTTTTACCCAAACAGTGGTTTTTACTAAGTTCCAGGTGGGGCTGGCTTGGCATAGCCAGTGCAGCAGGTTGCCCTCAAGGGCCAGTCTGTGGTATGACAGGAAGTAACCAAGGTGCACACATTGAGGCTGCCCTCCACGCTCACTGGGGTGGCTCAGAGGGGCGCAAACTCCAGGGTTCTCTGAAGATAACTGGCCAGCGTGGCTCTTTGGCCTTTTTTCCAGGCCCTGCTGGGTCATTCCCCAGGCCCCAAGGCAGGGCCTGCATCCTGGGACTGTGGGGCGCTGCTGTCCTTGCTGCTTTGTGGGAGAAGGATGGCCAGCAACACAATCAGGAGGATGAGCAGGGCACTGCCCACTGCCAGCCCCACGTAGATCCGGCACCGGGCATTCTCCCAGCGCTTCTTCTGGGCCAGAGTCTTGGTTGTCTTGCTGAAGGCTGAGCTCTGCAGACACCCCCCAGACACAGGGTGGGAGTTAGGGTTTTCCCCAGAGCCCCAGACCAGCTCCTACCAACCCCATCCCCACAAGGGGTCTCCTTGTCTCCTTGCTCAGTCTCCCCAACCTGTCAGCTCCCTTTCTCCACAAAGCCTCTCTTGGGACCCTCCCAGCCTGACTCCTGGTCTAGACACTGGTGTAGCCCCCGACTCACAGCCCTGCGGGTTCACTCCCAGTTAACAACACCAGTCTTCACCATTTTAGGACGATCCACAGCTTCAAACCAAGGCCTTCATCCTTCACAAGGCCTCCCCACCCATTGCCAGCTGGGCTTGGGGCCCTCAAGAAACCCACACTGGCCTTTGGGTAAGCATCAGGCCCCACCCATGGCTGGGAGAGCCCTGGGCACCGTCTGAGTGCTCCTTCCGAGGGTCCCTCGCCCTCGCCCTCCCTGCTTCCCCAGGCCTCACACCATGTCCAGGAGTTGGTCTGAACGCTGCTGCAGCTCCACCAGCTTCCCGTCACGCTCCAGGACCTTGTCGAAGTTGTTGCGCATGATTTCTGTCACCTCATCCGCCTGCTGCTGGCATCGCTCCAACTCTTTCCCTGCCTGGGCACCAAGCCCAAGGTCAGGGCTACGTGATGCCCCCACATGGCCCTCATCTGGCCATGAGACCCAGAGGCCTCCTTGCCCCCGGTGTGTGTGTGCGTATGTGTGTGTGTGTGTGCATATGTGTGTGTGTGTGTGTGTGTGCAGTGTCTGAGTAAGGGGAACAGCATTATAACGGCATTATTCACATAAGGGTCTGATATGGGCTGAATGAAGGGCTGATCTCTCGGGGTGTATGGCTCGTCTTTGGCTCCCCCCTCCCACGTCCATCAGGGCAGGTCCTAGGTCAGCCATGACTTCCAGCATCTCACCTTCGTCTAAGGTGCCCCAGGATGAGACCTTCCCAGGAACTGACCACCCTCCCCCGAAGCAGACACTCGGCTCACGTGTTCGAAGTAAAGGGAAAGTCACTCAGTTATGTCTGACTCTTTGTGACCCCGTGGACTACAGGCCAGCAGGCTCCTCTGTCCATGGAATTCTCCAGACAAGAATACTGGAATGGGTTGCCATTCCCTTCTCTGGGGGATCTTGCCCACCCAGGGATCGAACCTGAGTCTCTTGTACTGCAGGTAGATTCTTACTGTCTGAGCCACCAGGGAAGCCCCACCTGTTCTAGGATGGCCTCAACTCAGGGTGCACCTGCCTTGTGGTTTCCCACTGGCTTAAAGAGGCGCTGAAGAACAAGCAACTGAGCTACTTGGCCACAGCTAGACAAGAAGGAGATCCAGCCCACAGAGCTAGAGAGGTCATTTTGGACCACCACATCTTATATAGCCTCTGCCCAACCCTACAGACACACACTCAGATTAGATCTCCCTTCCTTCCTTCCCCAGCCTCTGACTTGTCAGGCCAGTTCTGCCTCCTGGCCTGACCCCGCTCTCGCATCAGTGCTCAGATTGACTCCCTGTCTGCCTGGGAGCCTTGGCCTTCCTGGCCTCTGGCCTCCAGCTTTTCAGCTATAGCCAAGGTCTTCTCTGGGATTCAGCTCTTGGATTTCCCAGCCTGGGCAGCAGCCTCATCTGACAAAAGAACCTGGCTCATTTCAGAGGACTGGGAAGGGAGATGCAGGGTCCAAGCTGGGGGAGAGGTCAGGAAGAGGAAGAAAGCATGGGTCACAAGCAAGGAAGAAACTAGGCTTCAGATACATGCACCAGGGAGAGACCCATGGCAGGAGACTGGAGTCCAGAGACATGCTGCCAGGAGGAGATGAATCCCAGCAGATTAACAAACCACAGCAACTCCCTCCTCTTCCAGCCCAGTCCCCCAGAGCCCAACCCTGTTCTCATCTCCTCCCCACAGAACATGGGCCAAGCTCACTTTCCTGCCAGACTATATTGCCCATTGTCTGCAGCAGACATTTCAGCATTTGACTGAATTCCACTTAAAACCAGAAAAAGGAAAGGGATCTGGTGGTCACAGAGGGCCACCTCCTACTCAGGCAAGAATCCCCATTCAGGATCCTCGCAGCTTCCTTGCACATAACCTCCAAGCATTCCCAGTATATGAGTTCTCTCTCCTCAACTGGACCACAAGCTCCCAGAGGGAGGGCAGGGGCCAGTGCCCTGCCTTTGTCTGCCACCAGCCTGGGGACCCAGGAGGCCAGCGCACAATGCTGACCATCACAGGGAGTCAGTGAGTGGGCCAATTGCATTATAACTTATCCAAATGCAACTCTGATGCTCAAGTTTGTTACCCCAGTGTATTTCTCTAACCCAGCAGGAGTTTCGAGGGGGCAGGCATCTGAAACCCAAGTAGGTCAATATTTACTCATGAGCTAGAAAAGCAACCTGTTTCGAAAGGGGGGCCAGCAAACCACAATAGAAGGGTGCATTTGGACTGGGGAAAGCCATAGTTGGGGAACGAGGAAATATCATGAAGCAAGCTGGAAAGTTGTACTCATCTCTATCTCTTCCTGAGTCAACCACCATCACCACTATTATTACGACTATATGAATAATCATCAAGTCTCCATTACTTAGGCTTCCCTTGTGGCTCAGCTGGTAAAGAATCCGCTTGCAGTGCAGAAGATCTGGGTTTGATCCCTGGGTTGGGAAGATCCCCTGGAGAAGGGAACGGTTACCCACTCCAGTATTCAGGTCTGGAGAATTCCATGAACTGTATAGTCCATGGGGTCGCAAAGAGTCAGACACAATTGAGCGACTTACACTCTGTTACTTGGAATCTCTCATATTCAAATAGTCCAAGGCAAAAACCTGGGAAGGATTCAAAAATGAGAACCTTGTGGTTCGCTGGTAAAGGATCTGACTGCCAATGCAGCAGACATGAGTTCAATCCCTGGTCAGAGAAGATCCCACATGCCCTGGGGCAACTACTGAGCCTGAGCTCTAGAGCCCCTGAGCCGTAAGTACTGAAGCCCACGTGCCCTAAAGTCTGTGCTCCGCAACAAGACAAGCCACTGCAATGAGAAGCCCGAGCACCACAACTCAAGAGTAGCCCCCACTCTTGGCAACTAGAGAAAGCCCACACAGCAATGAAGACCCAGTGCGGCCCAAAGAAAAATAAACGAATAAACAAAAACTTTTTTTTTTTTAAATGAGAACCCCTGCTAGAGACTGTGGAATGCTGCACGTCATTTTTTTTCCTACTCTAAATGCTACAGCTGTTGTTATCTTATTCTCCAGCATGGGGTGATGTTGGGTCACATTCTTCTGGAGAGCTGGCTGTGCCTCCCACTGCAAGCTGCAGCCTCCATCCCCCAACGGCAAAGCCAGGCCTGTCTGGAGCCTAGATGGGCCCAGGCCTAAAAGAACACATTCACTCCAGGGAACACACAGGCCCGAGGTTCAAGTCTCTGGGCCTCCTTGGCCTTTCTCAAGCAGAGGAAAAAGGACACTATATGCATGAGTCTCTGCTGGCAATGATTAAAATAAAGAACTGCGGGATTTAAAAGGAGATAAGAGACCAGAGGGCAGGATTCCTGCCATACAGAACTCAGTGTAATGCTTGGCACACAGTGGATGTGTGGAAAATATTTTCTGAATGAGTTGGGGCTGTTCTTGAAAAGATGGCTATAGGCTGGGGAAAAGAGATGTATATGATACAATTAGAGGAGAGCAATGACTTCACACCATGAGATACAAATAGAGAGTGTTGGAGTTGCTGACAGACAAGTGATTCCTGAGAACCAAGATGGACCGGGTAAGGTGGAGCTTGGATGCTCCTGCCACAGGCAGACAGAAACATACTCCAGACAGAGTTAAGGGTGGAGAGGCAGGGTGGGGCCTGAGAAAGCCCCCAAAAGTCAAGAAGTAGGACTTCTCTGGTATTTAGTGGTTAAGATTTGGCGCTTCCACTGCAGGGGACACAGGTTTGATCCCTGGTCTGGGAACTAGGATTTCACATGCAGTGTGAGGTGGCCAAAAAAAACAAGGATGCTCTCGCAGAGGGAGAAATGGATGAATCAAGAACTAGCGTAGGTTTCTGAGCCTGGAGGAGAACTTCTGTGTTGGTGGTAGATTGGCGCGGATGAAAGTGAGATAACTCAGGCCAGAAGCCACTAGAAGGCATGTAGAAGTGCCATCAGCAAGGGTATGTGGAGATGTCTGCAGGCTGGGAGAGGGAGGAAGGCAAGAGAGGAAGGGTGAGTGAGAGAGGAAGGGAGGGTGAGAGGCACTTCCGAGAGTGGGGGCAGGGGTGGGGGGCAGTGTTGCTGGCAGACAGACGGTGGTAGTTACACAGGAAATCAACAGACCGTTTTCCTGTGTGCAGAACATGCCTCCTTCATTTCTCAAATCTCCCCTCAGATTTTTCCGGCCAGAAACAGCTAGTTCCTCGGAAAAACAAAGCTCTCAAAAAAGCTCCCATTCAAACACTCCTGTCTGCCCTTTTTCCTGGTTAGTGCCTATGGCCAGCTGTCACGGTTGTCATCCTTAGAGAGACCCACCCAGGCAGTGACGTGGGGTATCAACTCCTTCCTGGGTCAGTTCACACCTGAGCTCAGAGCTTAAGAGCTGCACCCTGCATTACAGCCACCAGCACCTTCAAATCCTGCCTCTGCTGCTCAACAGCTGAGTGACTAAGGACTGGGGACATGACCTTTCTGACCCTCCACTTCCTCATCTATAAAGTGGTAACAATAACATCTCCCACATTAGCTGAGGCATGTGACCTATTAGAAATAAAATGCCTAGCACAATTCCTGAATGCTCAATAAATAACAGCCATTATTGCTATAAGAGCCCCTGGAGAAGGGAATGGCAACCCACTCCAGTATTCTTACCTGAAGAATTCCATGACAGAGGAGCCTGGTGGGATATAGTCCATAGGGTCTCAAGGAGGCGGACACAGCTGAGGAACTAACACTTCATAAATTGCTATAGCCCAGTTTTCCCTAGTTTTTTTTTTTTAGCTGTCAGATCCCAGGAACCACACAATACTTGTGGTTAATAAATCCTCTTAGGTGTAACTACTGAAGCCCACACACCTAGAGAAGCCACTGCAATGAGAAGCCCGCGTGCTGCAACTAGAGTAGCCTGCGTGAAGCAACAAAGACCCACTATGCTCCAAAAAATTTTTTTAATAAATAACAAGATAAAATAATAAATAAATGAATCTAATTTTTTTTAAAAAATAAAATTCAAATATTTTTACAAAATACACAGCCAAGCAAGCTCTTCCCTATGGCCAACTTATGCACATAATTGTTTCTAACCTATATATAGAACTTGACATGGGCCTTTGATAACCTACATCTAGTGCATTTCCACCAGGCATTGCAGGCTGTTGAGAAGGTTTTACATCTTGACAGTAATAACAGCTCCCAATCAATAAGCACGTACTCTGAGTTAAGCACTGAGCTGCCAGCTGACTGCTCACTTTATCTCATTAAAGCCTCACAACAATACACTGAGAAAAGTACCCTTATCCCAGTTTTATAAGAAACTGAGGTTCAGAGGGGTTAAATCACCCCCATCCAAGGTCACAGGGTCAGTGAATAGAAGATCTAGGAGTTGAACCGACTTAGACTCCAAGGATCACATTCTTAACCCTAGTGTTAAACTGGATGGCGGTAAAGGGAGGTCAAATGCTTTAGCTGACTGGCTAAAGACCCATCAGACCTTTTGATGCTGTCTCCTCAACTTGTGTGCAAATGAGGAAGGCCTGTGGCTCAAAAACCCACATTGTTTGCACAGTGCGTAATCGAGGACTGTCTATAAGATGAATGAATCAAGTCAGTCCCCGCTCAGTTTCTACCTTTCCCATCACTATTTTGTTTCTACTCTATTCCCTGTACCCGTCACCATGACTAGCAAGGGAAATGCCCAAGAAACAGTTGTTAACTGAATGAATCAGCAAAGAAAACGACTTCTCTGGTGGTCCAGTGGTTGACGGATACAGTCCCTGCTCTGGGAGGATTCCTCATGCCTCAGAGCAACCAAGCCCATGCACCACAACTACTGAAGCCCACACACCCTAGAGCACATACTCTGAGCTTAGCTCAGAGTGCTTAGCATGTGCTCCTTAACAAGAGAAGCCACCACAATGAGAAGCCTGTGCACCACAACTAGAGAGTAGCCCCTGCTCTCCCCAGTTAGAGAAAAGCCTGAGCACAGCAACAAAGACCCAGAGCAGCAAAAAATAAATAAACATTAAAAAAAAAAGAGGAGAAAAGAAGGGAAAGGAAGAAGGAACAGGTAGGGAAGAACCAGATGGGAAGCAGAAAGGGGTGGACAAAGGGGCAGGAGTGAGAGAAAATGCAGAAGGGAAGGGGCCAGGAGATGGTTGAGAGAGAGATCAAGTCTCAGGCTCAGATCCACTATTTGCCTGAGATGAACCTGTGAGAGTCCCAGAGTTTTCCAGTACCCCCCAGTAACTGATCCCATCCTCAGCCTTCATTTCAGGAGTTTCCTCTTCTCACCAAGTGCTAAGGGCCAGCTGCAAGCCCATCCTAACCCTGCCTGATTCCTTGCTCTGCATGCTGGGAAATGGGCTCCAGGCTCTGTCCCATTCTCCAGGCCTCCCTAGGTTTCCTGGCCCAGCCTTAGAACTCATTGCTACCTTCCTGCCTGGCTTCCTCTTCCTGCCTCCAGTTCCCTGGAGATGAGGCCATCTTGGCACCTCAACCCCCAGCCAGACCACATCCATCATACCTCTGCTGCTTCTCCATGGCAGGATCTTTTTTTTTGGCCACACCACGCAGGATCTTAGTTCCTTTACCAGGGATCGAATCTATGCCCCCTGCATTGGGAGATCAGAGTCGTAACTGCTAGACCACCAGGGAAGTCCCTGCATGGCAGAATTTTAAAGCACTAAGCCTGCTTCCTGCTGGACACAACTTCCCATGAGTTCCAGGCAAGGGGAGAAGTGACTGACACTACCAGCTTCTGACACCTTTGCCTTGGAAATGACAAGCAGGGGCAGAGGCGGAGTCTAAAGCAGGGAGTAGGGCATGACTCAACTCAAGAATGTGTCCCTTAGGTAAGGCTTAGAAGGGAGTCAAGCTATGCCCCACTGATAACTTCAGTGGAAATTTTATTGTAAACATCTTCCTTTCACTTTCCCCAGGAGAAGGAGTTTGCCCTCCAACACCCTGCCACAGGGCTGACCTGGCCTCTACCACCCCATCTGCTCAGGTTTCCAACTCCTGGGCCAGACTTGGCTCCTCACGGCCCCAGGAAGGGCTGCAGAGTTCATCATATTACCCACCACTTCTCAGGAGCAGGTTCTGAGCACCAGACAGATCTCTGCCACTGTATCTCCTTCAACTTCCTAAGGACCCAGCCAGGCAGGTACTGCTGACCCCACTTCACCATGCGGAAAAAGAGGCTCAGGGAGGCTAAGTGACTTGCCCCGGGGTCACAGAGAGGGTAAGTGGCCGCCACCAGGACCTCAGCACGGAGTCTCATTCCGAAAGCCGGTGCGTTTAACTACTCAGCTCCGGCAAGTCCCGCTCACTCACCGGGCACGGGGCAGCCAGGATCGGCAAGCGCAGTACTTTCCCTCCCGGGATGCGCGTGGGGAGCGAAGGGTCCGGACCGGTCCTGGCTCCCGGCCGGCCTTCGTCACCTCGCCGGGGAACGGGCGCGGGTCGCGAAGGGTGCCCCCGCCCTTGGACTTCGGACTGCCGCCCCGCACCCCCACGCTCGCCCTCCGCCCCCTGCCCCGCCCCGGGCCCTCACCATCGCTGCAGCCGCCTCGCTTGCTCCGGCTCTTCTGCCCAAGTGGCCGCAGTACCAGCTGCCCCGGAGGAAGCGGAGGGCGGGGCGGGGCCTGCCCGGAGGGGGCGGGGGGCGCGCCTCCTCTGAGAGGCGACAGAGACCGGGTCAAATCGAAAGCGGCTGGCGATGGCTCCCGGGATCCGGGCACAGCGCCTCTCTTGGGGCCGGCGGCGCCCGGTTCGGGAGGATTCCCCGGCCTCGTGAAGTGGGGACTCCACCGAATAAGCCTGGTGCCAGATCTACACCTCAGGAGTCCTGTGTATGAAATGGTCACAGTGGAGTGGGCTCGGGAACGCGGGCTCAACGGGTCCTCTCTGGAACTGCATCCAAATCAGGTAGACGAGTTCACCTGGACAGGCATCATATGTTCATTCAACAGGCGCTCCAAGGAGCGCCATTGTCCCCCGCTGTGCTAAGGTACTGGAGATGCAGTGAAGAGTCGGCCAGTGTCTCTGCCACCTTGGTGAGTGCAACTCACCCATAACCAAAAACCGACCCCCACCCCTCCAAAGTTCTGAAACTGAATAAAGTTTATTCACAATAAATATCATAAATGCACCGCCTGACAATGGATTGTACATTTGTGTGTGATAGTTGCACAGTCTGTGTCTGATTCTTTGCGACCCCATGGACTGTAGCTCACCAAATTCCTTTGTCCATGGGATTCTCCAGGCCAGAACATCAGAGTGATTAGCCATCACTTTCTCCAGGGGATCTTCCTGACCCATGGACCAAACCCAGGTCTCCTGCATTGCAGGCAGATTCTTTACCATCTTAACCACCAGGGAAGCTCAGATTGTACACTTGAAAAGGGTTGATTGCATGTTTTGTGAATTTCACCTCAATTAAAAAAGCAAACAGACTCCAGTGGAGAAGGTGCTAGCCCTAACTTTTTCTTTATTTCCCCTTCATCACATGGGCCATGGCAGCCCTGCCCTGATAGGACCCGCTTCCTCAGTTGGAAGATGAGGGAGGCTGGCGTGTCTGTCTGTCCAGAGCCTTCCTGAGCTGAATCTGTCCATCTTCAGCCTCTCCTTTCACTGCTCCACAGAAGCCAACACCACCCAGTTCTCTACCCGGCCTCATACCAACCCAACATCTCACATGTGGCCCCTCTTGAGGAAGGAGGTGTTGACTTCCCTCTCCCAGGTTGAGGCCCCTGTGAGCACAGACCCCCACCCTCACCCTGGAAGGTCTAGGTCCCACTCACTCCAGTTGCTTGGACTTTGAGTCTAGGAGTGGACCGAGAAGGAAGAAGATGGACATGATGGTGACCAAGACTGCCCCCCAAAGGGCTCTTCGGTGCTTTCCTCCCTTCCTAGTTGTCAGAGCATGCTTCTAGAACTGGATTGGCTAGTACTAGTCCCCTGTCCTGTCTCCCAACCCCGCCCCTTCCAGACTGCTTCCTCCAAAGAGGGCAGAGATGACAAGAACCCTCCCCCCAAACCAAGATGCACTGGGCACTGGAAAGAGTAACAATGATGGTGGGACCTGGTGGGGAGGAGGGAGGCCCAAAGACAGAGAGGTCCATTGTCCAGGAGGGGAAGGAAAGCCACAGGCCCTGTCCTGTGACACTGACTGTGTCCAGCCACGGGACACAGGGGTGAGAAATGCGCACCCCCTCAGGACTGCTAAGACCCAGAGGCTCTGCTAAGCTCCAGAAGGCCAGTGGCAGACAAAAGACAAATAGCACTTGCAGAACCACAGGAGAAGGAAGAGCAATTTAGTTCCTCCACCCTCCCTCACCCCTCCCTTCTAGAGTACAGCAGGGCCATGGAAGAGAAATGCCAATGATGGTGGGGTAGGAGGGTGGGGGGAGGGGAGGATTTAGATTTCTAAATGCTCTGCCTGGGAACACTGCATGTCTCAGCTAACATTTCCAGCAGAAAGTAATAAAGAAAATGGCACAGGGCTTCCCTGGTGGCTTGGTGGTAAAGAATCCACCTGCCAATGCTGGAGACACCGGCTCAATCCCTGATCCAGGAAGATCCCATATGCCACAGAACAACTAAGCTTGTGTGTCACAACTATTGAGCCTGTGCTCTAGAGCCCAGGAGCCACAACTGTGGAAGCCCAAAGGCCCTAGAGCCCATGCTCTGCAACAAGAGAAGCCACTGCAATGAGAAACCCGCACACCGCAACTATAGCATAACCCTTGCTTGCCACAGCTAGAGAAAAGCCCACTCAGCAATGAAGACCCAGCACAGCCAAAAATTAAAAAAAAAAGAAAAAGAATGAAAGACAATGGCACGACCCACAGAGGACACTTAGGAGTCTTACATACCACCCTAAAATGCTGGGAACGCCTTGAATTTTCCATACTCCAAGAGTTCCAGAAAATCCCTGCTCTTGAGACCCGATGGAATGAGGGGCGATTAAAAAAAAAAAAAAAAAGAGTTTCCGTTCTTCTTCTCCAATCCTATGTTCTCCACCCCTCCAACAGTCTGGGCCTCTGATGGGAGAGTTCTGCCAGAGAGTGTCCTGGGGAGAAACAAAATAGAAGGGCCAAAGGCACAGTGGAAAGAGAGAAAGGACATCACACACATAGGGATACTGAAAGGTCTTTATTGCCCACTGGCCACCCTCAGTTCCATCAGTTTTCCAGCCATGTGCTAGGCTCTCTGGGTCTCTCCAACCAACTCCGAGGACCCCTGAAATGCAGCCACAGTCCAGCTCTCTCTTTCTGGGGACCACCGTGTTCCCTGGGGCAGACAGGGGGCTTCAGAGTGCGGGGCGGCAGGACCAAGCAGCATTCCACGTGAAGAAGGACAGGAGAGAGGGCCCCCCTTGGCACGCACCATGGAAGGTGGCAGCCGAGGAGGGGGGCAGGGAGGGAGGGGTTCCCTAAGTGGGGATGGCGCCGGTGGCAAAAAGCACGATGAAGAGGACGATGATGAAAACAATCACACAGATGAGGACAATCATCTTCACGTTCTTCCACCAGAACTTCCGAGCTACCTTCTGTGACGTGGTCTTGAAGTGCTCTGACTGTTGGGGATAAGGCAGACAGAGACCCACATGCCGTTCCATCTAAATATTGAAGTGCTAAGTGGAGCTAACAGATTGCCAAGTAAGACAGCTTATGTCCTCCTATCTTGACAAATGTACCTTCAGAACCATATGGTGGGCCAAGTTCAAATTTAGAATTCGTGGGGCTCCCTCTGGTTCCCTGTCCTCCACATTGGGCTTCTGACACATGCTTCCACCCAGGCTTGTGACAATGGCAACACAACCTGCCCTTAGGAAGGCAGACAATCGGGCTGAGGGGGCGCAGGCTCCAGGGGGGATATATCTTCCTGGTTCTATGATTTCTGGCCCCATGAGGACTGCCGAAGCCAGAGGAGGGGCTCAGGGCCGTACAGAGGCTGGAGTTGAGGGCAAGTGTTCTTCCTTCTCCCAACATGAGTTGGAAAAATTGTTTCCTTTGGCCCTGCTCCCCAGATCAGGCTGAGAACAGAAACACTAAGTCCCCAGAAGTTAAATGAGCAATACTCAAGATTACATGCAGGACTCCGAAAGCCACTGCCAGTCTCTCCCTGTGGACATGGGATCTTAGGCTCCAGCCCTCTGCTGAACTTTAGAGTCGCTCCTTCCCTGAGCAGCTGGCTTTGGCCTCTAGCTGGAGAGACAGGAGAATATCTAGCCAGATGTGTGGGAGATGTTATTCTAGCCTTCAGCTAGCAGAAGAGCCTGGGATCAAAGACTTTTTTACTGCTCTTCCCAGCTTCTTTTTAAAGCTGGTTCAGCAAGACTCTTAACAGTTTTCCACCCCCTGCCTAAAAACCCTGGGGAAGGCCAGCAGCCCTAAGAGGATGTTCTGGGGCCAATATTTTTGTCCTGGGATGGCCAGATCCAAATGAGAGTCAAGGGCAGCCTTCAAAGGGAAAATCAGTTTCATAGGAGAGAAACCTAAGAAAGCACAGGCTGACTGAGCCGTCTGTCTCAGAAAATCCCTCCATGGATCCAGCCCTGCACCCCCAAATCTGTCCTTAAACTCAATTCCAATCAGTGGAGTATAGCAGAACCAGAAGTGGGGACTCAGCTCACGTCAGTTCCCAGCACACATGAACAGACAGACAGACTTCCCTCCTTCACTCTGCCACCATGATCACCACGCCCCCAGTAATCTTCCTTGCCCCTCTTCCTCTCATCCCCTGGGAGGGGGTGGGGGAGCTCCCTGGGGGGTAGGGTGAGGGGCTCCCTGTCATCTCACTGTGGCTTCCAGATCCTCTGTCTTGTTGCGAAGGTGGTCCAGGTTCTCTCCCCGGGCCAGGATCCGCTCCACATTCTGGGTCATGATATTCTTGACCCCTTCCACTTCATTCCGGAGGTTCCGCACACGGTCATCTCCTCCACCGCCACTGGCCTCCTGGGCAGCCACACAAGGAGTTAATTAGGCCAAGAGGCTGGGACTGAGACCCAGCCTCAGAGGCCAGGGGAGGGGGAGGCCTGAGGTGGACTTTAGCTTTTTGCAATGCTTGATCTGTTTGCAAAGAGAATGTTTTTCTGAAGAACTCGGGTAATCAAAACCAAATGCCTCTATAAGCCCCAGGTGGTGAGAGCCATCCATGTTAGGAGACAGATAGGACCCAACTTCTTTGTGGATTCTCAGGGCCCTTGACAGAACAAGAAGCAACCCTCAAACCCCTCTCCACTGCTTCCTTGTTCCTCAGAGAGGGTCAGAGGAGACAGCTAAGCCAGTACCTCCCAATGCACAGCTCCACCACTATGTATGAAATTCCCAGGTCCCACAGATCCTCATTAAAAATGCCTGTGCTGGGTGCGGACCACCCTCACCAAACCCACCCTCCCTCTCAGACAGTGGCTGGAGAGCTGCTCCGGCCTCCTGGGCAGCCTGATGGCTGTGACCCAGAGCTATGGCAACCAGGCTCCAAGTCCCTCACAAGGCCCCAGGAGAGAGAACAGTTGGGCCGCAAACTTCTGCTTTCCCCACCACTTAGCACCACGCGCAAGCACCAGGCCATGGCCTGCTCAGGCAAGTATGAAAAAATACAGACAGCCTGGGCGTTGGGGGAAATGGAGGGCAAATCCTCCCAGGCTGCAGTCTCATCCCCAGGCTTCATGATAAGGTTTTTGAACAGGGAGGGGAAAACACTGTTAAGCTCCTCCCTCCCTGACCCACTCAACTCCCAGAAACAGACCAGGGGTAGGGGTCGAAACTATTGATAGATAATCACAGAGAACCAATTTCTGAGTCTTCTACAAACCCTCAGCTCTCTTCCCCGGGGGGGCGGGGGGTAGATTCCTGGACTCAGTTGAGAGACAAATTCTTTGGGTTTCTGTACAGAGGGGGATTCCAGCCGATAGGCTGGGCTCTGCCTTCGGAACTGCACAGGCACAGCCCAGGAATGTCACAAAACCCGCAGGCCGGCAGCGGCTGGAGGAGGGGATGAATTTTAGCCACCCGAAGCACCGAAGCCCACTCCAGATCAGCTCAGGGGTCAGGAGAGGGAGGGAGCAGAGAAGGAGCAGGAACACCCACCCAGGCAGCTCAGACCTATTTGCAGCCAAGCTGTCAAAGAAGAGACCTCTCTGGCAGCCTCTGGCCCAGCCCTCAGACTTTGCCAACCAACTTTCCCTGGGTAATCCCCGGCCCCCAGCCCCCTCTGGCTGGCCTGAAATCTGCCCCTTTTTCGTTTCCAGCTCTCTCACCATGTTTCCAAGCGGCTCGGGCCTGCCGGCAGCCGAACTCGTTCACTACTCCGTTTCCTCCCAGGCGGCCGTCGGTTCACTTCCTGCTTGTCCAACTTTCAGCCCGCCCCCGCCCACCTCGCGTCCCAGCGGCTCCAGCCACACCTCGCTCAGGTTCTCCAGGTAGGCGGGCACCCTGAGCTGTCCTCCCAGTCTCCTCCGGAGCCGGGGCTTAGACTTAAAGCGACAGGGTTCCCGGGCACCACATTTCTTCTAACTTAGGAACAAGAAAAGATCAGGCAGCCCTCCTAGGTTTCCTGATGTAGAAAGGGCAGCCTTTTTAAATTTTTCATTATTATTTTTTGGCCCCACACGCAGCATACAGGCCCTTAGTTTCCCAACGGGGCTCAAAACCGCGCCCACTTCAGTGAAAGCAAAGTCAACCAATGCACGGTTAGAGAAGTACCTCACTTTAAAAAAAAATTTTTTTTTAATGTCCTCAGTATCTGATCCCCAATTGTTAAAGAATGAAATCAACCCTAAGCACTCTGTCAGACCTTGTTCATGTGGAAACAGAACGCAGATATGAACATTTCTTACTGGACAACCTTGTTCCCAAGTTGTTTTAGTGAAGAATGCATTGAAACTCCCAAAATCTGAAATGCTGTGATCCTGGGCTCTGGTGTCAGAAGCTGCAAACCTCGAGTGAACCTCTCCACCTCTCTGGTCTTTGCAGGTGCTGATCCTGACCTCAGAGGGTGGTGGTATGGAGTAAAAGAAAAGCTTACGCCATGTACCTAGCACAGCCTGGAACAAAGGGCTGCCCACTGCTCCAGTCAGGAAATGCTGGGTCACCAACTCTCCTATTCTAGAGTTCAACCGTCCTGCACGTCCCTTCGGGGGCCACCTCAAGGGTTAGGGAACCCCAACAGAAATGAGCAGATGACTGCCCTATGGACCAGAGAGGGGGCCCAGGGCAAAGGATTTTTCCACTGACCTGGCTGCAGGCCAGAGAAAATCCACCCTTCCCGGACGGCATTTATCAAGACAGAAGAACAATAACAGACCGGTTCAGAAGGAAACAAACATTCCTGTCCCATCCCAGAAGTAACAGTTCCAAGAGGGAAATGGCAGCTTCTCTTGACAAATGCTTTTTTTTTTTTTTGACAAACACTTTTTAAAAGAGCTTAGTAAACTTTGGACATCTGTAGCATTTGGAGACCCTTTATTCTAGCTTCCCAGGTGGTGCTAGTGGTAAGGGACCCATCTGCCAATGCAGGGGACAGAAAGAGATGCAGGTTCCATCGCTCTGTCGTAATATCCCCTGGAGGAGGGCATGGCAACCCACTCTGGTATTCTTGCCTGGAGAATCCCATGGACAGAGGAACCTGATGGGCTACAGTCCATGATCTGCAAAGAGTCACACACGAATGAAGTGACTTTGCATGCACGCACCTGAATTTTGGTGGATAGTATCAGCCTGCTTTCACAGAGAACATGGTACCCCACTCCTCATCATTCTTAGAAAGGCAACAATGAAGCCAAGCAGAGGTGGGTCAGTATCTTTGACCTATCCTTTCTTTTTAAAATTATTATTAAATTTTTTGACTACACTGGATTTTCCCTGGGGCAAGTGGGCTTTCTCTAGTTGTGGGATGCAGGGACCTCTCCATTGCAGTGCTCAGGCTTCTCTTGCTGTGGAGCATGGGATCTAGAGTGTGCAGACTCAGTAGTTGCCCCTCGGCATGTGGGATCTTAGTTTTTGAACCCGGGATCACATCTGCATCCCCTGAATTGCAAACTACAAGTCCTAACCACTGGACCACCAGAGATGTCCCTGTTGATATATACTATCATTGTCCAGTACAGTAGCCCCTGACCACAAGTAGCTGTTGAACATTTGAAATGTGGCTCGTCTGACTGAGGTGTGATGTAAAACACACGCCAGATTTAAAAGATTTATTATGAGAGAGAGACTGTAAATATCACTTTAGTAATTTTATATAATCATCAATATATAAAATTGAAATAGTGTTTTGGATCTTTTTCCTTTTTCCTTCTTTTTAAAAAAATTTGTAACTTGATTTATTTATTTATACTTTTGTTCATGCTGTACAACATGCCAGATCTTAGTTCCTCAATCAGGGATCAAACCCATGCCCCCTGAAGTGAAAGATCAGATTCCTAACCACTGGACCACCAGGTAAGTCCCAAGTGCTTTATTTTTTATTGAATTATAGTTGATGTACAATATTATATGTTCAGTTCAGTCGCTCAGTTATGTCCGACTCTTTGCGACCCCATGAATCTCAGCACGCCAGGCCTCCCTGTCCATCACCAACTCCCAGAGTTTACTCAACTCATGTCCATCGAGTCGGTAATGCCATCCAGCCATCTCATCCTCTGTCGTCCCCTTCTCCTCCTGCCCCCAATCCCTCCCAGCATCAGGGTCTTTTCCAATGAGTCAACTCTTCACATGAGGTGGCCAAAGTACTAGAGGTTCAGCTTCAGCATCAGTCCTTCCAGTGAACACCCAGGATTGATCTCCTTTAGGATGGACTGGTTGGATCTCCTTGCAGTCCAAGGGACTCTCAAGAGTCTTCTCCAACACCACAGTTCAAAAGCATCAATTCTTCGGCGCTCAACTTTCTTCACAGTCCAACTCTCACATCTATACATGACCCCTGGAAAAACCATAGCCTTGACTAGACAGACCTTTCTTGGCAAAGTAATGTCTCTGCTTTTTAATGTACTGTCTAGGTTGGTCATAAGTTTCCTTCCAAGGAGTAAGAGTCTTTTAATTTCATGGCGGCAATCACTATCTGCAGTGATTTTGGAGCCCCCCAAAATAAAGTCTGACACTGTTTCCACTGTTTCCTCATCTATTTCCCATGAAGTGATGGGACCAGATGCCATGATCTTAGTTTTCTGAATGTTGGGCTTTAAGCCAACTTTTTCACTCTCCTCTTTCACTTTCATCAAGAGGCTTTTTAGTTCCTCTTCACTTTCTGCCATAAGGGTGTGTCATCTGCATATCTGAGGTTATTGATATTTCTCCCGGCAGTCTGGATTCCAGCTTGTGCTTCTTCCAGTCCAGCTTTTCTCATGATGTAGTCTGCATATAAGTTAAATAAGCAGGGTGACAACATACAGCCTTGACATACTCCTTTTCCTATTTGGAACCAGTCTGTTGTTCCATGTCCAGTTCTAACTGTTGCTTCCTGACCTGCATACAGGTTTCTCAAGAGGCATGTCAGGTGGTCTGGTATTCCCATCTCTTTCAGCATTTTCCACAGTTTATTGTGATCCACACAGTCAAAGGCTTTGACATAGTCAATAAAGCAGAAATAGATGGTTTTCTGGAACTCTCTTGCTTTTTCGATGATCCAGCGGATGTTGGCAATTTGATCTCTGGTATTATATGTTACAGGTATACAATATAATGATTCATAATTTTTAAAGGTTATACTCTATTTATAGTTATTATAAAATGTTGGCTGTATGCCCTATGTTGTATGATATATCCTTTTAGCTCATTTTGTACATAATAGCTTGTATCTCTTAATCTCCCACTGCTAAATTGCTTCTCTCCCCACTGCTAACTACTAGTTTGTTCTCTATACCTATGAGTCTGCTTCTTCTTTGTTAAATTCAGTAGTTTGTTGTATTAATATTTTTTAGATTCCATATATAAATGATATCATACAGTATTTGTCTTTCTCTGTCTGACTTATTTCACTAAACATAATACCCTTGAGGTCCATTCATGTTGTTTTTTAAAAGGAAAAATTCCATTCTCTTTTATGGCTGGGTAATATTCCATTGTGTGTGTGTGTGTGTGTGTGTGTGTGTGTGTGTATACCACATCTTCTTTATCCATTTATCTGTTAATAGACAGATACTTAGAATATATTGAGTTAACTTAAAAAATATTGGTGAAATTAATTTCACCTGTTTCTTTTCTCTTTTAATTTGGCTAATAGAAAATGTTTAATTACCAATGTGGCTCAAATTATATTTCTATAGACACACTGATCTATCCTTTAACGTTTTTGTGACACTGGACAGATTTATGTAACACATCTAAGTTTCAATTACCTCCATTCTGTGCCTGGTACTTAAAAAACTGTCAGTAAATGGTGGCTTTTGTGATTACTAAGAATTCCAGATGCTAAGTGAATTGGTGGGTAAGGGAACATGAGGGATACCAAGAAACAAAGACCAGAGTAGGATGTTTGAGGGGAACAGGAAGAAATGGAAGAGGATTCCCTGGATGGGAATTCCCTGGACGTTCCTTGTTGTAAGTAGAGTTACAACAGTTGAGGAGCTATCGGGTTTGGTATGCCACCGCAAGCCTTGGACATACATTGATGTTCCTGAGGGAGCTGACCCTTGGCCTAGATCCAGCAACTGTCAGGGAGATTCAGCAATGCCTATGGTTGGGCCTGTAACCTGTTCGTCCTCATCTTCACCTTACAGAATTGGGTCCTCGTCTTCACTTTACAGAACTGCTGCAGGCTTAGCCTCACCTGTACAAACACTGCATTGTTATCCTTTATCAGAAAACTATCTGGGGGCTTCCCTGGTGGATCAGTGGCAAAGAATCTGCCTGCTAATGCAGGAGATGTGGGTTTGATCTCTGGTCTGGGAAGATCCCACATGCCTTGGGGCAACTAAGCCCTGTGAGCCACAACTACTGAGCCTGTGCTCTAGAGCCTGGGAGCCACAACTATGGAAGCCCGTAAGTCCTAGAGGCCATGCTCTGCAACAAGAGAAGCCACAGCAACGAGAAGCCTGCCCACTGAGACAGAGTCACCCCCATGAGCCACAGCTAGAGAAAAGCCCGCACAGTAACGAGGACCCAAAGACAACCATCTGGGAGTTCCCTAATGGCCTAGTGGTTAGGACTCTGGGTTTTCATTACTGTGGCCTGGGTTCAATCCCTGGTTGGGGAACTGAGATACCACAAGCTAGTGTGGCCAAAAAAAAAAGGAAGAACATCTGGCTACCATCCTCACAAGGTA